CCACATGAGCTGAAAAAACACCCCGCAGAGCCACAGCTTGGCTCCCTCATCCCCCGCGTTACACTCTCACTACAAAGATGTCACAGCAACAGCCACACACTCCACAAGGAACACAGACAATTAATTGCCTCCCGTAATTAAGGCAGAACTTCCATGTGTGTGTGGAAGATGACACCACCAAATTTGTCATAAAAATTAGCACATCAGCTGTAACTTCCTCCCTCATCTGGCAACCACAGCAAGGACCCAGCAGGTCACCGCGGATGTAACAGAGGATGTATCACTGTAGCACAGAGGGGTCCTGTCACACCAGCTGCCTGCGCTGTGCCGAGACAAAACACCCCTGGGCCGCTTTACTTATTTCTGCTAAACGTTTAGAGCACTGGTCTCACTGCGCCTTGAAGTTCACCCACCTCGTGGCACCTCTGCCCGACACACACAGACCTTCCCATGTGTGACAGGGAGCGGGATGCAAAGCCCTGGGGACACGAGCTGTCCCCCCCCAGGGTCAGGGCTGGCTCTGCATGTGCTGGGTTTCAGGGTCAAAGAGGCCCCATCTCTTCAGAACTTCATTTTCACAAATCTGTACTGGGTATAACTCTTTCCAGGGAAAAGTCACATTAAATCTCAAAATCTCATACCTCTGTTTCCTGCTTCGCTGCGGCTTGGAAGTTTCTTCATAAGGGTTTTGAAATACATCAAAAAATATTGGTTCAAACTTCTTGAAAATCACAGTTGACACTTCGAAATTTCTCTCCAGCCGCTCCACTCGCTCTCGGAATTCCTGTGGTAGGTTTGACATGTCCATCCACTTCTTCATTTTGCTAAAAAACTGAATTAAACTTTAAAGAAAAAAGAAAGGTCTGCTTTGAGCTTTAACTATCTTCCAAAATGCAACATATTTATTCCTTAATGACTGATTAGATTACTATGTAGATTTACATTTTTTTTGACAAGACTCCCAAACTGTACATATTGTAAGCTTTTTGCCTTTTATCACCCTGGGGTTTCTCCTTGACCCTCTTTAAGGCACAGGAACACTACTTTGATGCAGCGGCTGCCAGCATGGCTGTGCTGGGCAGGGGAGGAGTGGAAAGGAAAAATCACATGCTGCTCTGCATGTGTGGAGGGGGAGGCAGGACAGGCAGCAAAACCACAAACAAGCAAGAGCCGTCAAAGTTACCTGCACAAAAACCTGTTAGTTCTGGGTGTAATTAATTGGCACTCCCCCTCCAGCAGCTCAGCCGGGAGCGGGTCTTTAAACCGAACGAGAAACATTCGGAGCTCTGTCGTTCCAGCTCTGTCTTCCCCGGTCAGAGCCACAGGGGCAGGGGAGCTGCTGCCGGGGCCGTGCAGAGGGGGAATGCTGTGTTCCCAGAACAATTGGGAGCCGCCAGCACTCCCTTGGGATTTGCCCTGAATCCTGAGTCAGACACGCGTGCTATCGAGATCGCTACGGCAACGCCGAGGTGTTTGCGGTCAAATTAACTACAGCGAGAAACAACTGGCGTGGGTGGAACTGCTGCTCCGACATGGGTGGTCTCCCAAAGGCTTGAAGTTGAAAATTACGTATTTACATCCAATTTCCATCTGTAACACCCGCGGATTTGTTGCTTTCCCAGCTCTGCCTCGGGCGCTGCGATTGGGAGCACCGGGAGCGGTCCCGGGCCAGCGGCTTTGGCAGCGCAGGGACTGACGGGCGCTGTGCAATCAGCCCCGGCGGTAATTAATTAGCCCGGCGCTCACCTGAGGCGCGCGGAGCGCAGGATGCGGGTCAGGGACACGCCGTTCCCCTCCATCGGGACGCTCCCCACCGTGGGCACCCGGCTCCGGCGGCAGGCGACGTACAGCGCGCAGGCCAACCAGTGCAGCGGCTCGCCCTGCGGGCACAGCGGGCACGGCGCTCAGCCGGGGCTCGGCCGGGACCCCGGCCCGGCCCCGCCGCCCCCGCCCCGCTCACCTCCAGGCTGTAGGTGCCCCGCAGCGCCGTGAAGTCCCGCAGCGCCTCGGCCGCGCTCGCCGCGTCCAGGTTGAGGTCCCGGCAGAGCTGCTCGACGGCGGCCCCGGGCTCGGCGGGGCCAGGGCGGGCCATGGCGGGGCTGCCGCCCCAGAGCCGCGCGCCAAAACCGCCGGAAGGGCGGGGCCGCTTCCGCCGGGGGGGCGGGAAACGCGCGGAAACGAGCGGGGTCGGGACAGAGAGACACGGACACGGACAGACACAGACAGACGGACACAGGCACAGGCAGACACGGATATACAGACACACGGACAGACAGACAGACAGACAGATAGAGAGAGAGAGACACAGAGACACAGGCAGACGCGGCCAGACGGACACACAAACGCACAGAGACAGGCAGATCGCGCACAGTAACAGCACATGCAGAGCACACAGACGCAGCAGAGAGCAAACGCGGGCACAGCGCACACAAAGCAAACATGTCACTCGCTGTCACGCGTGTCACAGCGGTGTTCGCGCGCGCGGCTCCGGGAGCCTGAGGCAGGAGCGGGTTTCGCCGCGGTCCCGCAGCGCCCCGTGACCCGCGTGGGGTCGTGGGGCGGGGGCAGGTGGGCTCCCCCTCGCCCCCGCAGCGCTCCCGTGTCCCGGGGCACAGCCCCGCTGCCATCCCGGCCGTGCACTGACCAGCGCCGATGGCCAGAGCCCTCCTGAGAGCACCAAGTGTCCCCGTGGGCAGCGGAGCAGCTCCCGCAGCCCTGAAGGGGCTCGGGTGACGCAGCGCTGGTTCGGGCACAGGGAACACGGCTCTGAACCCGCGTAACCTCGGAGGACACTTGAACCACCATGCTGTGGTGCTCCCCGAGCCAGCTGCTGCTGCTGGGAGGGCGTGGGACAGGGAACACACGGAGCAAGCCCGGAGCGAGCGCGGGTGCCCAGCGCGGGGCTGGACCCGCACCCTGCTCCCCGGACCTGCTGCTCAGAGGCGCGTCCCGGAGCCGCCGGCGGGACCCGGCCGCGGTGCCCCCCGCCCGCTCAGCAGCCCCTGCCGTGCCCCTGCCCCACACACACATCCCAGGGCTGGTTTTCTTGAAAATGTCCGTTTGCAAAGCACAGGGATCAATTCGTGGGATCCACAGGCCGGCGGAGGCGGTCAGTCACCGAGAACCAGCTCAGCTCCGTGTTTTCCACGTTACTTTCCACGAAATGTTACTTCCCTTAATCCAACACCTAAATATATTTGCGAAAAGATTTGCTATAAGAGCATGGAAAACTGCCTGCTCTGAACAGCCAGGAAATGTGTTTAATTTGGGATAATGAGGCTATGAGTCCCGCAGACTTATTTATTCCTTCAGGACCAGAGATTTGCCTTCCTTGGGGTGAACTGAGCTTTGCTTTTTGTGCATCCGTTCCTCTATCAGAAATTTTTGCCCTTTTCTGGGGAAAAAAAGAAAAGTCACTGTGAAGTTCTCCTTTCAAATTTTGTCTTTCCAAATGATACAGACAATTCCTGTACAATGTCTCCCTGAACAATTGTGCTGGCAATACAGCACAGCCAGCTGAAAAACCTGACAGCCAATGCTTGGCAGGAGCCCAGAGACAGGCTGGAGTATCTGCCACAGCTCCCACTCCCCTCAGCTGCTCCTGCAACAAGTCCAGGTCGCTGAAATTCCTTGAAACCCTCCAAGGGCGTGTGCTTGCATTCAGCCAGGCTGGGACTGGGATTGAGTTCCAGGCTAAACCAGTAACATCCCATCCCACCCAGACTACTGGCAAGTGGAGCCAGGTAGTGGTGCTGTATGGAGTTGTTCCATGAATTAAAATCCCACTGGAGGGTGAACGAGGCAACACAGGGACTGCAAACGATTTTCTGCTGGGCTGGAGATCTTGCATTGTTTAAACCTTTTGGGGTGAAATCTGAATTCTACAGGAATTAGTTCCACCTTGGCACTGCACCTCCAGCCACCCCTGGGTGCACCATGAAACCACCAACACCCCAAAAAGCCACACGGGAGGGTGAGCAGGATGTTCCCAGGCCTGGTATACAAGTGTATAGGGCACGATGTGCCAATAGATGGGAAGGGGAATGAGAGAGAGGCCAGATTTCTCTTCCTCCAGTTCTCCAGAGCTGCTGCTCTGCAGGCGGCTGGGCTCCTTCCCTGGCAGTGCTGCCCATCTGTCCAGTGCCCATGGCTGAGCACCGGCGCCGTGGGCAGCTCTGCACTGGCACACAGGGTCTGAGGCACTCGGGGACCACAAACGGTGCCTTTATATGTGGTACAGTGCCCAATATTTCTTTGAGGTTGCAAAAATTGAGGAGAATTCATGGTCTTGTGACTCAGCCCATGCTCCAGAGCCCTGGGACCAAAGTGGCTTCCGAAGAGGCAGAAAACAAAAATGCACTGAAAAGCTCAAGTTTTCTTCAATGCAAACCAAGTGTCACTAGAGAAATTGCCCTCTGCTCACTGCTGGCTAAGATTTCCAACCCCAAATCCTTTCTTGTAACTGTAAAGAGCCCAGTCTGCACTTGGGGCAGGTAAAGCTCCCCCATCCACAGGTCAGTGCTGAGGGAAATCCTTCCCCATTTTTTGTGACCATAAAGGGAATTGGAGATCCTGTCTAAATGTGTCATGAGACATCTCTGTGTCCCATCAGATAAAAAACAGACAGGAACTGCTTGGGGCAGGGGTGTGTGGGGCTGTGTGAGGACTGTGGAAGTCTCTGGGCTTCCACCCAGCCTCTGGACAGAGCAGGTCCCCTGTACATCCTCTGTGTTTAAACTGGCCCTGGGATCTTGCAGGACAGCAAGTTAACTCCCACAGCACAGTCAGTTAACCCCCAGGGCACTGTGTGAGAGCCGGGGTGCAGCCCAGTAACCTCCTCCTGTGGCAGGAAAAGCTGATGTGCCCACTGCGAGCAGCCCTTCCCCGGAGAAACGCACGGGGCACGGAGAGCAACCCTGAAGCAGGGAGCAGGCCACTGGGTTTGACAGCTTCTCAACGGACTCATGCTGAGAAAAAGGCAAGTCACGTTTATCACTGAGTCAGGTGAATTAAACATTCACATATATTTGCTGAAAAAAATTATATACATCTGTAGCAAGGCTCTGCCAAGTCTGAAAGATAAGCATCATCTAGTCACTAAATTAAAAAAATAAAAATCTGACTTTTAAATCTTTTTCTTTTTATCCATGTTCAAGAGCACAGACAGTTTATTTTGTTAGCACATTTGGTGAAGGATGTATGTGTGTGAGTAGCCATGAAAACCGGTGAAAATTTGGCGTTCGTTTGGGATATGATGGAAAAGAAGAAGCAGCCACTTACGCCTTACAGTCTAAATAATCCACAGAGTATACCGGGTTGCAAAAGGGTCACAAAGTAGCAAAGAGAAGCCTAAACACCCAGAGACATAGCATACATGTCTGCTAAGAAAGAACAAGGTATAGAGCATGCTGGCTAATTAAATAAATTTCACTTTAAACCCTGTTCCTTACGCGTGTAACCCTGGAAAAACCATCCCTTAACAAGAAATGAACTCGGAAGAGATTTCTATATCCATTCACAGTAAGGCTTTGAGGATATATGAAGTTTTATAGCATTTGTATTTTAAGGATTTAGGGCAAGTACATGTTCTTCCACTGAATAAAAACAAAGTTAGTACTTAAAAGGTTCAAAAATATATCAATCGTGACTTTTTTTTTTTACATAAATAAATTATATTGATTTTGGATTTAACAGCTGAAAAAACCCTTTCTGCTTCCACTGGAGGCAAAAACTGAACAAAATGTTAGTTAAATAGAGATAGCAGCATTTCTAAGAAATCTGTCAATAGTGATACAGTATCTATGCTACAAGACTGTTATTAAATAGAACACATTTAATTATCCAGAGGGGTTGCATTATGATTGGTTACATACTTTAAAAAAAATCATCCAATCCAGTAAACTGGGAATAAATTCTGTGAAAATATAAACCAACTGCTTTTTTTGACCATGGGTAACAGACTTCTTTGAGATGCTAATTTTAACATGTACATAATTTATAATCGCAAATGTATAAAAGACAATGACAAAAAGCATCATAAATAAATAATGCAAACTGAAATAGTTATGTCAAAACATTTGGACCATCTGATAAATTAGCAAAACTGCAACAGAAAAAAAAGTAAAAAATACAGTAAATTGTGACAACCAAGTGTGAAACCGATGAGTAGCACACACTCCAACTCCCTCCCAGCCTGCCCTTCGCTCACCGCTGCACCACTGCAGCTTTATTCAAGTCTCAGACCATGAGCTGCAAATAAACACAACCCCAAGTGAAAAGAAGAATTAAAGGAGGAGTGAGGGAAAGGAGAAATCAGAAGAGTTGCCTGTGGAGGAGTCTCAGTACCCAGAGCTGGGGGCGGGGGGGCTGGCAGCATTAAAACCCGTCTGTATGAAATGCAGACACTGAAATCCTTTGGGGGATTGGAAATACTGTTCAACAGCAAACGGAATGGGAAGAAGCCAAATCATCTCTTCACAGTCCAACGCTAGAAAGGAAGAAACTCAAGCTCTAAAAGTCTCAAGGCTCCTTCTCAGAGGACTCCCCAAAGAGAGAAGCTGGCCTACAGCCTTCTCTGTGTTTGCTGAAAGGACATCACTTCTGGGGTAAGGAGTGAGGAATATAAAAACTCAAAAAGCCTCAGTGTTCATATAAGAGCATTAAAATTGGCGTGGCCTGTTCACGGCTGGAAAAAATACCTTTAGAGCACCTGTAATGCCATAGCTGAGAACTAACGCCAGAGAGGAGAACTGAAGACTAGCAGAATGACAAAGGAACTGGTAGCTACAGGTACAGTAACCCCAGAAAAGTCATGCAAGTGTGCAAAACCTTTCCAGCTCAAGCTGAAAAGTTCTTGTAACTAACAAAGAAAGGGCAACTAAACTCCACGTAACATAAAACCAAACTTTGGTTTTAAAAAATACAAAAGAATGTCTACATCGTCTTTTCACTCTCTGCGGTTTGTCTCCAAACCTTTGAGGTGGGGGTGATCAAGAAATTATATCACTACCAGTTATGCTTTTCCTTTCAAAGAAATGAATATATGCATTTTCAATCATTAGTTATATATTTCTGTCTATACTACTATTCTAGTAACCATGATAAAATAGGGAAATACTTTAAATCAAAAATACACATTAGCACTTACTATAGCTGTGCTTTTAGCCCAAATACAGGCTTTTCGTTCAGTGTTGCTGTAGACAGAAATACCCTTGTCTGCATGTAGACCAAGAGGTAAAGACTTTTCTTTTGCTCTTGTTTTTTTTGCTGCTTTTTCTTCTCAAAGGAGTGAGCAATTTGGGGGGGGTGACCGAGTACTGGATTTGCTATCGTCGGCTGGGATGAACAACTGGAAAAACAGAACGAGAATTCGGTGCCTCCCATACTAGCTAGACAACACTGTTTATCTAATAAAGTGGCAAGACCCTGCAACTATTAACATGTAGTATGTCACCAGAGTTTTTTCTGACAGGAAATTAGGTAGATAATATTACTCATGGAAACACAGGTTTATGAAAGTGGAGCAGGGTGGGAGGGGAAGTAACAAAGAGTTTATGGGATAAGAAACTCACAAGCCACAATCTTTTTGTGTTTTTTTTTTTTTTTCCAATGAAACAAAAGTTCTAATCAGTATGGTGAGCCGCCTGGCGCTCCTCCTCTGCTGGTCCATCCTGCTCCTTCTCTGCCGCCGCCGGCGGGCTCTGCTCCACACAGTTTTGACTGTTGGCAGCTTCTTTTTCCGGCAGTGAGACAGTTTCTGGCTCTGGATTTGCCGATTCCCCTTTTGCTTTCTTCCTCTTCCGCTTCTGGCTCTCCAGGTTCGCCGCCTCCGAGTGCCTGGTTTGCTGGATGCCAGGCAGCGCCATGCCGATGCCGGGGGAGAGGAACATGGAGGGATAGATCAGTCCAGGAGACATCCCTGGGATAAGAAATGGGTTAAAAGCTACAGGACTACTGGTAGTTATTGCGGATTCTGTCTGATTAGAAAATGAACTAGGACCAGGCTTGTCTTCGGCGAGAGGTTCTTTTTTCCCATCCTGGCTGCCCTGTTTCTCCTCATTGGCTTTCTCGGCGCTGGCTGTGCCACCTTTCGTTGTGCTTGTTAACGAAGTCGGAGCAGTCGCAGTACAAGTCGTTGTCATGGGGGAATTGAGAAGTCCTCCAACGCCAAACATCTGGGGTACAGTAGCCATGCCCGGCAGCATCATGGGCAACATACTCAGGGTGCTCTTCACATCCTCCCCAGCGGGCACTGCTGCAAAGCCAGCAGGAAACCCGACCAGCCCGGTCAGAGGGATCCCCTGCATGTTTCTCATGTTCTGAAGTCCCACTAGATCCATCCCAGCAATGAGTCCGTTCATGAACAATGGTCCCATTCCAGAAGAAGAATCTGCTACAACACCGGGGCCCTTAAGGAGTTCGCTTCGGGGCCTCCTCCCTCTCCGGCGCGGCCCCGTGTCCCGGAGCACGGGCTCGGTGAGGACGCGATTGAATTTGTTTTCGGGTAAGTAGCCCTGGAAATGAAAGACACATAACAGAGAACACCCGACAGTTACTACTGCAGCAAAGGGGATCTGCCTTGTCTGTGCTTGCATCTGCGTCCCAGATGGTGTCGGCACAGAAATATTTGCCTACATGATATGGAATTTGAGAGGTACACACGACTTTTCCCCAATGGATGCTGCCAAATGCAAAACACCCTAGCAGGATCCTGCAGTGTCAAAATGCTCAGGGAGGGGAGGAGGAAGCATGTTTCTACCCCGTATTTCACCCCAGCCCTCAGCACCAGCTGTTCACAGCACGAGAAGCACCAGGGCAGTGGTCTACTCAGCTCCCTGCCCAGCTCCAGTTGTGCCTTCAGCAACAGGTGAAAAAGTCACATCTTTGAGAGGTGAAGGGCCAAATTTTCAATGCTCTGCAGAACAGCAAAGCTCATGGGATGACACACAGAGAGTGGACATGCTGTCTGAAGAGCTCCTGGTCAGAGCTTTACTGAGATGCCAGGAAGCATTTCAGAAAGCTCTGAGCGTTCAGACATGGGACCAAAACCCAGCAGCCAGAACTGGGCAAGAGCGCGTGGTTACACAGAGCAGTGGGGGGGGATCCACAGCCCAGCTCAGAACTCCCTTCTTCAGCATCCTCAACACAGACATTTAAACATTTCCCTTCGTGGCTCCCTTGAGTTTCGATATCACCACTCTGAACCATTTCCAGTAATAGATTTAAGCAGGAAAAGTATTTCCTGGCGACACCTGCAGTGCAGAAACATGAATCAGATGCCCCTGGCAATCTGCTCGGCACAGCTCCTGCCTAAGGAGGGAGAACCTTCTGGGATTATCTCCCACTGCCATGTGGAAGAGCCCGCATAGGGCCATGACTGCCCCGGGCTCTGCGGGGCAGCACCGCTGGCCGGAGCGCCTGGAGCAGCCGCCGTCCCTGCCCCGCACCAGGACAGAGGTGCACTCGCCAAGAGCTCCGTGTGGATGGGGCTCAGGGTGGGAATGCTCTTGGGATGCAGCTGCCAGAGCAGGGCACATGAGAGGTGCCTGGGCAGTGCCAGGCACACGGTGGCTCCTGCAGCAAAGGGACTGTCCCCTCAAACCAAGGGAAGGAAGAGCTGTCAGCTCTCCCAGGACTGGCCACCCGGATGGGGCCCTGATGCCAGCCTGGATGTGGAGCCGTCTCCTGGGCGGTGAGACACACCATGCCAAATCTCCAGCACTAATTAAAAACCAATTTGAGAGCAGTAAAAACCTCTAAACCAATTGATTCCCCCTCCAGCCCCCTGCAAGGGTGTCACACAAACCACTGCAGCCCCAAAAACAGGCAGCAGGCAAGAGGGACTCTAGGGAGAAGTCTGGATCAGGTCATGGCAAGGTGATCTGACAGTGCCCATGTGCCGGAGGGGAGAGCACTCCTGCACAGGCTCTGCCACGCTCCGGGGCAGGGACTGGTGTGATGAACAGGGAGGATGGATGTGGCATGGCGAGACTCCGTCCTGCCCCTCTGCCTGCCTGTGCCTGACCCTCCAGGCCTGGTGACCTGCAGGGCCTTTGGCGGGCCCACAGCTGCACAGGCAGAGTTTGCAGGAGCTGACAAAAAGCATCATCTAAAGGTACTTCTGAAAATTTGACCCATGAGAATGTGTTTTGTCCACACCCTGCATCCAGCACCTGTGGTGGATTGCTGCTCCTAGGGCGTTCCTCTTGCCCCTGCTATTCCTAAGCATCCCGAGGCTTTCCAGACAGCCACCCTGAGCAGCCACCCTGGGCTGCTGAGCCCCTCTCCCAGGACGCTGGCCCCCCTCTCTCCTTGCCCTGGCCACACACCCAACCTCCCTCTGTGCCCCGGTGCCCCCAGCCCTGCCGACCCTGCCACTGTCCCCTCCCACACGCCCAGCCGAGGGCCTGCCTCGCAGCTCCCGGATCCTCACTGGAGAAAGGTTGTGGGGATGGGGAGGGGAAAGAAAAGATGACATGATACAGATTTCTCCAAAAGCTCTAACTTACTGAAAGCTTAACAATGTCAGCCCAGTCAGCTGCAACAGCATACTCCAAGTTTGCATCAAGCCACCTTGGCAATTCCTTCAATGCTGGTGCTGTGGCTCCCCCTAACTATAAAACACAGCAGAAGGATGACCTCTATTGCAGAGAGAGTTATGTAAAATAATACAAAAAATACGATTACACTTCCCCTAGCTCCTTGCTTTGGGCTGCGATTCAGCTGGGGCAGAGACTATTTTGTAGCTGCACATCTTTGTAGGGCTTGGTGTGTGCCTGCTGCCTCCAGACACACAGCCCAGGGAGAAAAGGCAGGTTCAGCCTCTGTGGCCTGGCCCATTGGCCACTGATGGGGACAGAGCTGTAAAAGCCATGCTCAGAACTGACAACCCCCCCCCCAGCTCACTCAGGTCTCCAGTGGCCAGTGTGGAAGCCCAGAGGGGAACACGGATGTGGCTGAAACAGCCTCTTTCTGCCTCACTCTTTAGTTTTGGTTTTAGATGGGATTAATGCCAAGTCACCTTCTGACCCGTTGCAGTCCTGTATGTGTTTAAGAACTGAATTTGGGGGGAAACTACTCCTGGACATCCCTTCTCATTCAGAGAAGCGAACATCAGTGCCCCGGAGATTAAGCTGCAGACAAATAAATCCAAGCTCCTTGCTCACGAAGCAAGAAAAAGCCCTTCCAACCCTCCATTTCCCACATGTGCAGCAGTGGGATGGGTATTGGTGTGCTCTGGCCTGCACCTCGTAAGGAGGAACAAACCAAAGATATTTGCATGGCAGTATTACAGCTTGTGGCATATTGCAGTGAACTCAAGGAACAATCAAATCCAGGATGGGAAGCACCAGCCAGGGCTGTGTTAAGGGTGGCTTTAAAGCCAAAGGCTGTATCCCTTTGCCATTGAGGGGTCTGTGCCCCTGGCAAGGGTCAACACTCCCACATTCCTTACTTCATCCAGTCACTTATGTCACAGGTCTGCATCCCCTTGGGCACAGGTGTCACAGGACAGTGTAGATCAGAGAAGTATTCCAGACCTTTGTCCCATCCATAAGCTTCTCTAGATTAAATCTCCACCACGCCCCTGGGTGAGCTCAGGGTCTGCCAAGCATTTGGGGACACTGAGGGCAGAGTGCAGAACAGGCCGTGGCTTACCCGCCGTCCGGTACCCTTATGTACCACCGGCACCCGCTCCTCTCCCGTCAGTGAGCTAATGTCCAATTTGCTGGGGTCCTTGCAGCGCTGCCTCCTCTGCTTGGGCTTGTCTGAAAAATTCTGGAGTGCAAACAAGACAACGTTAATGAGACTAGATGGCTTTAATGAGCCTGGCTGGTTACAAGCCCTGCAGGAGAGAGGCATGGATGAACTCATGAGGGACAGAGGGGCCCTGCAGACTGGGGCAACAGCAGCGCCAGCAGCACAAACTGGTCCCTGCCACAGCACCAGCTCTCAAGTGAGCACAACTGATTTTTGTAGGTATAAAGGGGTCTCCAGTGCACCCCATTCAGACTGCTCCAGCCCTTTCTAGCTCCCCTCCACTCCTGAAGTTGCAGTCTGTTGCAGGTTCCTCTATGTGCTTCTGTAAATGGGACACTGCCTACAGCCAGGAAAGAGAGAACAGGTCTGTTTGTGCCATTTGTGTCGCTCTGATACAGTCACCTGCTTTTGCCAGCTCAGCTGTGCTGTGTTTCATTCCTGATTCAGCTGTTCCCACTACAGAGATGCTGCACTGTGTTTCTTTGGGATCAGAGCCCTTTGTAACTGCAACCTACTGAGTTACAGCCGAGTCGCTGGACACCCACTGCATGCACCGAGCCCTGCTGGCCATGTGCCTGCAGGGATGGAGCATTATAAGGAACTACTGCTGGCTCAGATTCCTGAGAGTCAGAAGAAAGACTCTGAGTGTGGTTTGTCCTTCAAGCTGAGCTGTTGCAGTACCCCAAAGCCTCTTTCAATCCATCCTACCTGGAGAGAGGACACCCACCCCGACAGGGTGATTCTGCATGGCTGGCCCGGGGCACGGGGGGCTTGCTGGGAGCAACAGCTTCACCAGCAGCACGGTCAGACTGGCCAAGCTCCAGTACCCCCCTGGAAGACAAGGGTGTTGGGAAGGAGTGGGAAGGCACCTCGGCACTTGCTCCACCATCTGACTGCTCCTGAGGGTCTGCCCTGGGCACACAGCCGGATGTGTCTCTGGACTTTGAAACGCAAGGGCCATCCTGCCGAGAAAACGCTGGGCTCCTCACCTCTCATCTCTAACTCTCCAAAATGCTAATGGCTTGCCTGTAGTCCAAGCTCCAGGGAATCCTCGCCTCAGGCACACGATACTCCAGGACCAAGATGAAGAGTCTTTTCTGTATTACCACCACATTTCTTTCTACTCTGTTTCACAGCCTGTGCTCTGCCTGTCACATGGTCTAACAGGCTAAATAAGCTGAAACCTGGAGCAAACCAACCAAGAGGTGGAGGTTTATGAGACAGCAGGAAGAATGATAGAGACTGTATACCCTACTCTGTGCCACTCTGCTTTCTGACAGCACCCATGGCCACACAGCTGCAGCCTTTCAGCCTCCAACACAGCCACTTAGGTCTGGCTTTTCAAGCCAGGAGGTTTTCTCTTGCCTGAGAACCTTATTTAATACAATAGCACTGCCTAAAATAAGCCCTGGTGAAAAAGAGCAACACAGACAAGCCTTGAGCATCCCAAATCCCTTTTCTTATTTCTGTCCCCAACCCTGGCACTTCTGGAAGACATTGTGCATTGGGCACTGCAGCTGGAGAACCGACTGACCTTGGGCATCGGGATGCAGGTCTTGGAGGATGCCAGATAAGTCCAAGCCCAGGGAGCCCTGGAGGGCATTCACAGTCCCCAGTTTGGGCACATTTGTGTCCAGGGGGAAAGGAGTTCCCCAGCAGCAAGTGCCTTTTGCTGCTGTACAGGGAACTGTGCCCACCTCCCAAATGTGTGATGAACCTCCCAAACACCTCTGATGAACACCACACGCCGTGTTACAGGAGAAGCCCTAACACAAAGGGCAACACACAAGGCAGACACACACACACACACACACACACACGTGCCACTGGAAGCCACCCTTACTGTGCCAAAGCCAGGAACATCAAGTGTGTAGTCAGACTGCTGCCGGAGCCAGTCGAGGAGACTCTTATTGGGGACAGTCTTCTCTTGGCCGCCTGCAGCTGGGACTGGCTGTGGAGCCGAGGTAGCAGCAACTGGCCCATCAGGGAGAGGACTGTTCTGAGGGGGCTGCGGCTGGTCTTCCTGAACATCCTGCCGTGGAGGGAGGAGCAGGGAGAGCCATCAGCAGCATGTGGTGATGCATGCACACCCCAAGAAGCAGAGCTCCCAAATCAGGTCATCTGCTCCCATCACACAGATTAATCCACATGTTCCGAGTGCCTGTTCCTTAAAATACCACACATGACCACATTACATTTCCAGTCCATCCCCAGCAGTGGTGGCAGGGAGGGCAGAGAGAGCTGGGAGATGCTTCTGAACTCACCTGGAAACACCCTAATCACCAGAAAGACCAACTTCCCCCCCACATCACTCCTAAAACTGGTCTAGAGGGACTGACCTTGCTCTCAAAGCTCCATTTTTCTTTGAGTGGATCCCAGGGTAGAAGAAGAAGAATAGGTGCAGTAGACTCTTGTCCACAGCTCTAACAAAGTCAAGGATCTTTCCTCATGTTCTCTAACCCTAAACACCCCCTGAGGTGGGACAGCAGCTTTTGATAATGCTTAGTAGGACTCAAACACTCCAGAGTGCTGCAAACCAGAGGGAAAACTTCCCTTGCTCCCTGGAGTAGTATCTGTGCCTGCACAAGCCAAGCTGTCCTGGAGGAGGTCCTGCAGTGTCACGGGCAGCAGAGCATGGAGAGGAGAGTTGGGTCATGAGACAAACCGTGCTGACCCCACTGGGTCCATGTGAAAGGGGGGAGCATCAACCCACCTGCAGCCTGTTTGGAAGAGGCCTCTCCTTCAAGAAGATGAGGTCCATCCCTTCGACATTTTTCCTCCTGCCCCGTCTCCTCCTCATGGCAGCATCATCTCTTCGCAGGCTGCCATTTACAATCTGTCCCGTGACAGGATGGATTAACCCTGCCTGTAGGATGCCAGACAAGTCCATGCCCAGGGAGCCCTGGAGGGCATTCACAGTCCCCAATTTGGGCATGTTTGTGTTCAGGGGGAAAGGAGAAGAGTTCCCTGGGGACCCATCAGAGGCTCTGGACAAGTCCACCGCTGCCTCACGCCAGCCGTTCAGCACAATGGGTGAATGGACGTGGGCTGCCGCCAGCTGCTCCAGGCTCCTCTGTTTCGCATCTCTCTCTATCTCAAATTCATATGGTCTCCTGTGTTTCCGCTCGTCTTTTGTGAAGGCAGGGCTCAGGAAACCTTCCTGTGTGTACCAAAGCCACAGAGAGGGTTATGGCTGCTCCCACCCCACCCAGGGACCACAGCTCTTCACACCAGCACTGAGCTAATGGTCACGCTCTTCTGCCTCTCCACGGGCACATGACACCTCTTTCCCCGCGTGGGGATGGTGCAGGAGCACCCCGACATGCACTCTGATCTCCCAAGGTGCTACAACCCCGGCTGCTCCGCCAGCTGTGGGGTGGCCAGGCTGGTGGCCCAGACAGAGCTTCTGTCTCTGTCCAGTGTGACCACTGGGGACCGGGACACTGGGACTTGGGAGCTGGGGACCTGATGGGGCAGTGCCTTCTCCTGCACCCTTTCCTTTGGGATACCAGGGCAGCGTCCGCTTTTCCCTCTGACCGTGTCAGGAGCTCCAGCGTTGACTCTGGAAGCTCTACGGCCGCAGAGGCTGCAGAACTGGCGAGAACAGCTGCCTTCCCAGGAGAGGAGCAGGGGGGCTGAAAGCACAGGGGGCTCACCAGGAGCACCCAGGAGAGGGGAGCAAGTGGCTTAAGCCATGTGTTATACACCGCAAGTGGCACCAAGAGGCCCCACTTGGGAAACTCCTGAGCAGTTCTGGGCAATGGCTCAGACCAGAGTCCTGAGCCTGTCATTGCCCGAGGGGCCCCCTCACCTTTTGTACCTGTGAGAGTAACACCCCGTTACTGAAGCTGGGATCAGGGGCTTCTGACTCAGCAAAGCTGCTCCTGCTGCCGGCGTTGCTGGCCACGGCTGGGGCTGTCAGCAGGCTCTGTGCCTCAAACTGCTGGCTGGAGGAAGGCCACTTGCCCTTTAGGATGGCGTGGCAGATGTTGTCAATGCGGTTGATGATCACACGGTCCTGGAAACAGAATTGGACAGTGGCAAGCTGAGACTGGAATGACTGACCAATGTATGTCAGCTCAGGATTAAAGCCAAGTCCAGCCCAGGTGATCACAGCTCAGCAGGAAACTGCTTTGGTGGCAAGCATCTCCATGGCACCCGTGCTTGGGAAGAGCACCTCAGTCAGAGCATCCGTGGGGAGCCGTGTGCGGAGGAGCAGGAGGCAGAGCTGGGGCTGCGTGAGCCACCGCCGGTCAGGATTACACAGGACACTTCGATACAGTGTTCATTTTAACCTCACCTTAGGCCACTCAGAGAAGGAGTAAAGTGTCTTCTCCTGCAGCAGCTGGGCAATGGTCGGTGCTCGGGCATCCTGAAGGTCATCGATCTCCCCGGGCAGGACAGAAGCAGAACTCTTGTTCTCTTCCTCTAAGTACTTCTCTGGACCATCTAAGAAAACGAAGGAGAACAGAGCCCCTCACCATCCTGCCTTTCTCTCCTTCTTGAGGTGGGAGCATCTCCTCACACCTTCCCACCCCAATACCCAGCTGGCTCCACTAAGGTTCCACTCCCCAAACAGTCACCAAGAGAAGCAGCAGGGTCAGGGCAGATGGCCCAAGCTGCTCAGGAAGGGACACGACTCTTCTGGGATGAGTCTGGTGGGCTTGTACTGCAGTGGCCCCCATCCCTGACTATCCTCATACCCCAGTGGGCGAAGGGGAGGGCACATGCCCTTCCAAAAGGAGCTGCTCACCCTGGGGCAGGAAGGGAAAGGAGTCCTGCATTCCAGGGCATGCTCATGGCAGAAGGGCTGCTGGGCGGAGAGTTCTGGCCAGCCCTGCTGGCAAATGCAACCCCCAACCCTTTTTTCCCCCCAGTTACAGCAGCTACAGGGACCCCAGCTCCTGCAGATGGGAGGCCACTCCAGGGGCTGGGCAGCCCCAAGGTTTGGCTCTGCAGAGAGGACAGCGGGTCCTTCCCACCCCAGCCAGACGTGACTTATCAACCTGAGGGAGCTCTCAGGACCGTACCTCGGCCCTGGCTGCTGCTGGCTTTCTCCCCTTCATCTCTGTTCTCACACTCTTCTTGCTTCACACGCTGGGGCTCAGTGTGTGGGACCTCTGTGCAGCCTGCCCCTCGGCCCCAGGAGTCCCCCCTGGCATGGGGGGGCTCTGTACCCGAGGTCCCCAGCAGAGGCGTGGGCAGGCTGAAGGGCTGGCTCTGAGCCTGGCCTGGTGAGTGCTGCCCAGTGCTCTCCTCATCCAAGCCACGGTCCTCCCTGCCTTCTGGCCCAGGCTCCCCCGGTCCCAGGGGCTCCTTCTCGCCACTCACATCTTCTGGGCAAGTGTCCTCGGGTGTGGGGAGGCCAGAGCTCTGCTCCTCACCCCCCAGTTCATTAGCCTCAGGGTCACAATTGGCCCTGGTCCTGGGACCACTCAAGCCATCCACAGCATCTGCTGCTGCCTCAGAGTTATCATCATCCTCTTCTTCCTCCTCATCTTCCTCACTGTGGCTCTGACTTGGCGCCGACTTCGCCTCCATTCCTTTTTCCTGCAGCAGACTGATGAACCTCTGCTCAGGAGGAACTTTTAGTTCATAGTTATGGAGACTGGGACCGTAGAGCCCCATGCTCAGGACCCTTTCCACGGTGCCGTGCTCGGGCAGCCCTGTCACCGGGCTGGTGAGGGCTCCCTTCTGCTCCAAGGCTTTGCCAAGCTCGGCCGGGACGCTCTGTGAACGGTTGCTCTCAGGGGTGGAAGGTGAAGGCTCAGCTTCCTCGTTCTGACTGTCCATTCGGTCAGAGCCCACCTGCAAACCCTTGAGGAAGGGAACCTCTCTCATGGTGTCTGCATCGCAGCTGGATGGATCCTCATCCCCCTCCAGCTTGCCCTCGGAGAGTTTGGCAACACTGCTTCCAACCTCTGTGCAGTTTGGGCTGTCTCTGGCGAGGGAGCTCTGCTCGCTGTGACAGCCCTTCTCGTCGTACATCATGCACACCAACGACTCCGGCAGCGAGCTCTCATCGTAGTTACTGGAAATGATGTCCCGGACTTCAGACATGAATGTTTCACAGTTTGCATCTGGTGTGCTGCCTCCGGCCTGGGACATGGTGCTGTCCACAGCTTCCAGCTTGATCTGACTCTCAGCTTCATTCTCCAGGGTTTCGCAGGTCCGGTCCACCTGGCTGTACAGAGGGGAACTGTAGAGTTTGGAATTAGTCTGGTAAAGGCAGCACAGGGTTTCTGGGCCTGGGAGCCCTGTTCTTTTATGCTGGGCATAGTTCCTGTATGCATCTAAAAAAGACAGCTGGGGGTCATTCATGATGTAGTAGTCGGTGCGGTTCAGGCCGTGCTTGGCGGTGCCGATCAGCAGGTCCCGGTCGTGTTTGCCACACTCCCACCACACCGGCAGGTAGAGGCTCGGCCGGCACAGCTTGAGCCGCTCGTGGAGCTGGGGGCACTTGAGCACCTGCTCACGCACCTTCCGCAGCAGCTCGATGCGGTAGAGGGTCCTGGCAGCACGTTCCTCTGTGATGGGCTCCACGTAGATGTCGGGGTCCGGAGGACCTACAGCAGGGACACCAAAGCCAAGGCCACATTACACTGGTTGATGAGAGCTCCTCAGGGGCAGTGATGAGCAAGGTGAGTTTTAACTCTTGCTCAGACTACAGGTGAGGTGCGGCCAGTGCTTGTAGCCACTGTCTTTTTCTAGTCTCACCACCTTCCTACTCACACATGGCAGTAAAACCCTGTGACTTCAGCAGCTGGATCAAGAGTGATACCAGCTGCAGAGGATTTCAGAGTCTTGTCTGAGCCTCTGGTAGCCCTTTAGCCTGTTCTCAGGGAAGGGCAGCTCATGCAGCTCTTCTGATGTGGAACACCTACCCAAGGCACTAACAGACACATGCAAGGAACTGCACCTGAGACCAGACCCCTCGACAGGTCTGAGGCAAAACGTTTTCTGCTGCTGCTGGAAGCAAATCACTTTGTGTTTAAATAGCCCTGAAGCAGCTTTTCATCTGCCGTGTCCTGCTCAGTGACAATGCAGGGTCTCTGCAGAGCACTCGAGGAAAATGGATGTGTGTTGGCCAGGCTGCAGTGGGTTCAGGCTCCCTTTACCCTGCAGCAGAGCTCCACAGGGAGCATGGGCATGGAGTGGACTTTGTCCAGTGCCAGTGGAGAGAGATGCTCAGAGGTAAAGCAGCAATGCAGCTCACCCAAATAACCCCCAGCTCTAGCATGGAGATGTGCTGCTGTGTGCGCTGCTTCTCTACTTGTCTCTCACATGCAGAGGTTGCTGTCTTGGATAGAATTGGTTGTGATTTTATTCAAGAGCTCCAAGAGATCTGTGAGAGCAGGGGCTGGAGCCCACAGGGCTGTTCTACCCTCCCACTGTGCTGGGGAGGCGGTATCTGGCAGGGACAAGGCAGCCAGAAATGCATGACTTGATGCAAGCCCATGGCCTGCCTGGCATCTCAGTGCTTCCAACTGTCCCTGAAACTTGCTCTCTTGCTCTACTGCTCCACGAGAGCAGTGGGATCAGTTCTACATGGACCTACCATTAGCACTCCATAGGCTGTGCAATTTCCACTCACCATCCTCTTTCCACAGAGGGAGACCACAGACATTCTTGCACATGGCCACGAAGCTGTAGAAGTACTTCTCCAGGCTCTCATCCGTCTTCTTCTCCAGTCGAGAGATGGCTCGGAACTGGGACCAGTCAAAGATCTTTTTCTCCTGGTCATAGATAACCCCAAAGGAGGAGACAGTGCGGTAGAAATCTGCCTGCTCCCTCCTGGTCCACCTGTGGGGCAGGGAGGAGACAGGAACACCACTGAGACACGTTCTGGGCCCAGCACAGGCAAGGCACCAGGCAGAGGCTCAAAGGCACTATCTAGTTACCGACCACCAGTTTTGGGGGGAGCTGTCAGGGAGACCACCACAACCTGAGATCCTCTGCCCAATGGTGCACAGGGAAGAGGAGCAGAGGCCATGGGCCCTCTGGCTCTCGATTCACAGATGAAAAAAATCCTCTTGGCTGTTTCAATAAACCCGAGTGCAGCCCTGGGCTGTGCTGCCAACAGGGCACAGGCTCCAGCAGCTTCAGTGGAGGCACAAACCTATCCCACCTACTCGCTTCCTGCCACGTCAAGCTGTTTCACCACCTCCATGGAAAGGCCAATTCTCTGTTGCAGCCATTAGGAAGGATCTGCAGACAGCTCTCATCCAGCCTCCTCCAGAGGCAAACTGGGACTGGGGCTTGCTGCTGTTAAGAGTTCCAGTAACAAACACCATCTGCCCTGCTGACTCCTGTGGACTCCTGGGTGCCAGGGGTGTGTGTCACCCCCTCCCCACTGAAGGAAAGCAGCTGTAGTGATAGAGGGGGTTCAGTTACAGCACTGTTAGAGCACAACTGGCTTGGACCCTCTGAGCTTTCACCTCGTGGGGATCACTCTAAGGAACAATCCAGGACAGATAGTGAAGACTGTCCTGGGCAAATACAGCCCTGGGCAAACAGAGCACAGAGAAAGAGCCACGGAGAACAGACCTGGGTGCACATGACAGGGCAAGGGCAGAGAAAAGGGAGTGCTGAGGGCTGAAGAAAGCTTCAAGTCCAATCTCAGCTTCTCTGAATTGCAGCAAGCAAGCAGGTAGGACATGTCAAGGGAGAGCAGACAGGGTGACAGCACTCACAGCTGCCCAAAATATACCTGGACCAGGATTTCCACCCCTGTTCCCAGGGGCTGGGAGCCCTCTGCAGTCATGTTTTATTTCAAAAATGAGAATAACATGATTAAAGTTAATAAATACATTAATGATCCAAATCAAGGAGCCCAATGGTGAGTTTGTCGAAAGGCTACAAATTAAAGACTGGTGGGAAACTCCTGTAAGAAGACCTCTCTTCTTGCAGGGAGGTCTTTACAAGAAGCCCAGAGAATTAAAGAGCAGGAGGTACCAGGCTGCTGTGGTGTCCACAGCACAACCATTGATGCCCCCACATCGAAATGGGGATGGTACGACTGGAAGAAGTCCAGAGACAGAGGAATGGGAACAGCTTCCATACAAGGAGGCCATGAACAGAGCACAGGGCAGCACAGATACCATGCAGTTACGTGGGGTCCTGCTGTGGGGACAGGTTCACAGGAGACAAAGCTATCGAGGGCTGGTGACCACAGAGAGCCCCAGTCCCAGGGCTGCACTGGAGACCGGCAGCGATGGCAGGACATGTCACCACAGGGCTCCTGAGGCCACGAGCAGGAGGCAAAGGCAGCGGCACGAGAGCCACAAGGGTCAGAAAGGCATCGCTCACAGGCTGTGACAGCACTCATCTGTCACCCTCACCCTTGGTGTGTCCCAAGGGCACAACTCTGCTCAGCAGCACCCGCTCTGCTGGGGCTGACCCTGTCCCAGCAGACACTGGATTTGAACCTGAAGAGCTGTCCCCTCACTTCCTTTCAGTCTCACCATCTGCTACCTGCAAACTCTAGTTTGCACTGGAGGCTGCTCCAGGGCTGGGCTGGCTGCTGGAGCAGCAAGGCTCCTGCAGCTGGAAGCAGCATTCCCTGCCCAGCAAGGACCCCCGTGACTCCATTCCCTGGGCAGCCAGCTGCACAGACAGCTGTGACGACATTTACCTGGGTCAGTTCAGGGGGGCAAGGAATTCAAGAGGGATAAATCAGCTTTGGAAAGGCCTCTCTGTTGCATTACCTTTTCTGCATTTCTTTGTTCACCGAGTCCACCTCAGAGGCTCTCCGGAACATCTCGTCCTGCAGCCAGTAGCCATGGTTACCAGGCACCAGCATCTCGGCGCGGGGAGGCAGCTCCTTGCGGTTGCAGCGCTGGTAGACGGTGACGAGTCGCCGCAGTCTGGCCGTGAGAGCAGAGGAGACAGGCCAGCAGGATCTGTCTGAGTCAGAGCCATCCTGGGCTTCAAACATCAGCAAAGACATTAGTATTTAGTGCACATGCAAAGCCACAGGTTCCCATGTCCCTGTGACAAGCTCCAAGAGCTTCCTCCCACCTTCTCCCTCCCGTGGGGTGCATCAGGGATCACAGTCAGGAGTGGGGGACTATGGTGACTGTCCCCAGGCCTGCTGGCTCACAGCCTCACCATGTCTTAGCTTCCTTCACAGAGAGCTCAGAGGCAGAGACCAGGGTAGGAATGATGGCTCTGGGCCAGGCCATGCATGGGAGAGGACTGCAGCTCCCTGCTCAGCGGTGGGACCGGCCAGCTCGTGGCATGTGCCAGCACTGCCTACTGCAGAGACCTTGTACACTCATCTCATGCAGGCAACTGCATGGACAAGGGCAGGCTAATGGCTTCTAGTCACCTTGGGCAGCTTTGGCTGGAAACACTCGGCACCCCAGCTGCACTGCCACAGGGCCCACCTCGGGTCAGCTGTGACTCTGCACGAGAGGTAGCTCCAGCCTGAGCTAACACAGAGCAGTGCGTCGTCCCCCCCCCAGCAGTGTGTCCTGCCCACCACCCAGTGCCTGGCGCAGTGCTCCAGCTCTGCCATGCCAAGCCCTGGGGAGCTGCATGCTGCACTGCAGAGACATGGCCTCACCTGCCGCTGGCTCGTCCCGCTTCTCACTGGCTTCACCCACCCCAGCAGCCACGATGTCCTGCAGAAGGAAACCATCAGAGAGGGCTCAGTCCCACACAGAACGCCACAAACCCACAGCCCACCCATCCTTAGCAGGGTACAGGTGGTGGAACAGGCAGGGTCGTGTGCCGTGTGCTCATGCCCTCGGGCTGCAGTCATTGGCTAGTTCAGTGCACGGGATCAGAGCAGCAGGGACAGGGGAGGTGACAGCTCAGAGGGGCAGTGCTGCCCATTTGGGTCCGGGTGAGGAGGTCCACCACAGTGACACAGGCTGTATGTAGTGCCACTGCCCAGGACAGTAGCACTGTGACAGCCTTAGCTGTTCAAACAAACCCTGCACCCTCTTGTGCTGCCTCATTCCCTGCTCTTCCTCTACCCAGGGCTATTTTAGGATGCCCCTGACTCCTCTGACAGGGCCCCACAGGGCTGCTGAAGCCGAGTGCGAGAGCCAGCACCCCTGGGCATCCCCAGCCCTCAATCCCCCTCAGTTCCCCACGAGGTGGATGCTGCCCAGGTCCACAGGTAACACACAGAGGCACAAGGAGCAGAGGCAATGCAGACGGGATGGGGCACCGGCAGCGCAGAGCAGGGGCACGAGCCGTGCTGGCCTCCCAGTGCCCCGCAGCAGAGTCGATGGAGCCAAGCCTGCAGCACAGCAGGACACGCCTGGCAGCAGCAGATGTGTTTTCAACACTGGAAATCCCACTTACCTCCTGTTTTGGCAGCCCCTCCAGCTTTTCTCCATTGCTCTCTTCCTTTTCCACGCTGCCCCTGGGTGAGAGAGTGAATCAGTCCCTGGTAGCGGCAGCATAGCCCCCGTAGCTGTGCCAGTCCTCAGTAGCAGGAAGTGGAGAATTGGTGCTCATGCCATCCTTCCACCTGGTACTGGGGACCAGCTCCCCACTGGCCTCCCCTCTGTGCTCAGAGGCACAGCCTGCTCCTTCCCTCCTCCCTGTGCACTGCCCCCAGGAGTGAGCCAGACAGCCACAAGAGCTGGGCTCCATCCCCTGCCCACCTTTCAGCAGCGTCCTGTGCCCCGTCGCTGACGCCCTGCTCGGCAGAGAGCAGCTTCTCGTCTGGCATGCCCACCTTCTCCAGGAAGCACAGCGCCGGGTCCGCCCGCATGGCGTTGTACCGCTCGTACCCTGCGACCGCCGCACGTCACAACATGGACAGACAGCACAGAGCAAGGCCTGAGCCTGGTCTGGGAAAACCTCCTCCAGGGACACAGCTCCCCACCTGGCTTTAACTCCCTCTATGCTGCTGTGAGAGCAATTCTCACCCCAGAAATTCTGAACACCTCCCCCAAAAGCTGCTAATGGCTCTTCTCTGGGCAGCAGAAAAGGGAAAGGTCAGCCTTCCCATCCCACCCCCTGCAGCAGCACAGCGCCCACAGAGCTGTGCACAGCACCCGTGTGGGGTGCAGCTGGGGCAGACAGCCCTGTGGCTCCTCAAAGTGCAGGGGGACTCCATGACAAGGCCAGGAAAAGCTCTGTGCCTTCCTCCTCACCCTGAGGTGGCAACTGCATGCTGCTCATGGCAAACCAGAGTCTGCCATGAGGCCCAGCATGGCCACCCTGGGCAGCGTGGGGTGCCTGTCCATCCCCCCTGCCCAAAACATGCTGCTGGCACCTGGGGAGAGCTGTCTTGGCCCTGTGTGGCTGCAGCGCATGGCTCTGCCCCCTCGCACTGACGTGATGTCCCCTCCAGGTACCGGAGGTACTCGTTCCCTCACACACCAACCCACCAGTCAGCTGGCTACACACCGTGTTTGAAGACACCGATGAGCAGGGATTTATCAGCTTCGGCGTTCCACCAGTCCACTGGGATCTCCACGTAGTCAATGTCTGGCAGCAGCACGTCCAGCTCCCTGTGGCAGACAAGGTATGAACACCCCTCTCCCAGTCTCACCAGACACTGAGGGGCACTGGGCGCCACTCAGAAGGGACAGGGGGAAGCAGAAGCCATCGCTTGCTGGCTTGGGGACAGCTAACGAATATTGGCCTGGGGCCCCAGCATGATGTGGGCACACATCTCCCTGGGGTCAGAGAGCTGGAGCCTTGGTCCCACCACAACCCACCGCCCTCCTGCTCCTCTCTCTCCAGTGACGGGGAGGCTGCCCAGCCCCTCTCCCATCCCACCCAAGCAACATCAGAGGACTGGAGATCCCATCTGACCTGAACAGCACCTCTGGGGGGAAACCTCCTCACACCTACCAGCCCCAAAAGAACAGTGTCTCACTGCATAAACTTGTGTTGATGGAGCTGTGCTGGGGAAGGTAGCAGCCCCCGCTCGCGGAAATTAGGATATAAGCTCATCATATCACACTTCTCTGTGAAACACAGAGAGCTGAGTCTTTGCAGAAAGGTCAGGAGCTGGCAGGCTCCAGGCTCAGTGGCATTACAGAGCCTGTGGGTCCCACTGTCCCCAGTGCTGGGAAGGGACTGTAGTCACAGTGATGAGGCATGCCCTGCTCTGAGGCCTGGCCCTGAGACTGGGAGCAGTCTTTGTGGACTTCCACTTTGGATTAAGGGCCCATTTGTCAAGCAGCACACAGAGCCATTTTCCTGCAGGGTGTCCCTGAAAGTCCCCACCACCCCCGGGCTAGTGTTGCAGCCTCAGAGCTGCCTCAGTGGGGCTGCCATGGCCGCAGGCCCTGAGCAGGTAGAGTGGCTGTCTAAAGGTGAAGTTTTGCCAGAGCAAGACCTGGGTGGGGACTTGACCCCCAGGTCTAACTTGCCTGGAGCTGCAGTGAGCCCAGACGTGGCTGGGCTGGATGGCTGCGGCAGCGCTCGAGCCCGAGAAGCCTCGCAGGGGTTCACCATGAGGTCCCTACCTGGCAGGGGTCCCCTCAAAGGCTTTATCCGCAGCCTCCCCCAGCACTTCAGCCTTCAGGTAGTAGAGCATTCGCACCCGCAGCAGAACCCTGTCCCGGGTGGCAGAGAGGTCAGCAAGGCCAGGGAAACATGCTTGACACCATGTTTCCCCACGTGGAAGGACCCACTTCCTTAAAGCAGGATGGGCACCAGTCGTGCAGCGTCACACAGCAGTGCCCAGCCCTGTGACCTGGTGGGGCCCATTGGCCAGAGGGTCACTGCTCAGGACATGGCTCCCATGAGCTGGAGGAGAATCCAAGAGAGGTCCAGCAGTGGGAACATGGGGATCCTGTGTGGGCTGTGAGCCCTTCGCAGCTCCCTCCCACCCTCCCAGTGCTAAAGGCCCTCAGCCCACTGTCTCCACGAGCTGGTGTGGGCTCCCACAAGGGGGAATGGTTTTAAACTAAAAGAGGAGAGATTCAGACTAGATGCTAGGAAGAAATTCTTCCCTGTGAGGGTGGTGAGGCCCTGGCACAGGTTGCCCAGAGAAGCTGTGGCTGCTCCATCCCTGGAAGTGTTCAAGGCCAGGTTGGACGGGGCTTAGAGCAACCTGGTCTAGTGGAAGGTGTCCCTGCCCATGGCCAGGGGTGGGTGCAACAAGATGTTTTTTAACATCTTCCAACCCAAACTACTCTATGATTCTATGATTCTATGACTCACTTGTTGCAGTGCTGTTTGAGGTGCTTCTTGTAGCTGTCATCATGTAGGACCACCTCGGGGTTGCAGGTGGCGAGCCAGTCCGCGTTCTTTATCTCGGGAAGCAGCATCTGGTTCTTTGTCTTCTTCCCCTTCCTGCCTCTGGGCACTGGTGCTGACAAACCTGTAACAGCGAGTGGCAGCCAGTAAGCACCGCAGGCACCACGGGCACCGCAGGCACAGCCGGGCACTGCCACCAGGCACGGCCGGCACTGGCTGCGAGGCAGGGCGGCAGAGCCAGGAGCTGGAGGAGGCCATGCAGAGCTCCCAGCTGCAGCTTGGAAGGCCAAGGAGGTGGAAGTGCACGGGGCAAACATGGCCCCCTTGATGTATAAAAATATCCCACAGAAGCATGGAAGCGACTTTGGTCCTGGGCCCAGCTCTTGGAGCCTTCTCTAGATACTGCAGCCAGCTCTGAAGGTCACCCTACAGGGACAGTGATTTGGGACAAGAGTTCAAATAAGAAGTTCCCAAATGATCAAATACCAGCAGACCTGTGGATCTGATCTGTAAGGGTTGTTTCTTATGCTGTGCATTAGGAGTAGGGCTGTGGGGGAACCAGATCAGTGCAGGGGGCTAAGGTACCAAAGGGAAAGGGAATGCGGTCCCATCTGGCTGACAATGATAAAATGAGATCCAGTGGCTGGAGCTGAAAATGAAACACGTTTCAACCTTGAAATAAGATGTGAGTTCACAGCAGAACGTGGAAACAATTCCTGGTGGGGTGTGATGGTTTCACTCTAGGCCTTCCTGGAGACCAGCTTGTAACCAGGAAGGAACTAGGAAGGTGATCACGGAAGTATTCCACGCTATTCCTTTACGTAACTTGAGGTATAAATAAAGCCAGCGGGAGGGACCTCGCTCTCTTCCTTTCCGGTGAGGTTCGAGAACGGCGGGTCCCTGTCTCGGTCTGGCTTATCTGGAGCCGAGGCCTACAGTGACTGCTGTTATCTGCCACCCGTGAGGGGAGAGCCAAGGGCCGTGTCCAGCCATCCTGCCTGTTCGAAGGGAAGTGGTGAGATTTTGCTAATTTACCTTCAGTTGGCTGGTTGACTTGTTTGGTCTTTGTCCCTTTTTGCCCTTTTCCCTTCTCCCTCCCCCTCTTCCCTTTTGGGGAGCTGTTTGGGATTTCTGGAGTTGTGGTGTATAGTACTCTCATTGTATATATCTGTCTCATATGAAAAATATATATATATATATATATATATTTTACTATAGCTTTGGCTGCTTAGGTCATTTTATCTCTTCCCTCTCTGGGAAGCAGGTCCTTGTTGTCGGGTTTCGGGGACTTGGCGGGAAGCCAGCTCGAAACTTGCACATGGGGTCATTATTATTTGGAATCTTTGGAGAGGGATAAGCTGCCTCTCTGGGCAGCTGCTATTGAGGGAGGTCCTGCAGACATCCTCTCCTGCCCATGTGTGAAGGGGAAAGAGTGCCTGAGCAGTTCTGTCCCATCTGTCTGGTCCACTGAAGAAGAGAGAGCATCACCATGTCCTCAACTCCTGCATAAGGTCTGCAGCTCCGTGACAGGACAAGGGTTGCAGCCCGGGTGGCTGCTGGGGGTGGGGCACCAGGTGGGCACCAGGGTTCCGATCTCCAACACCAAACTGGCCTTTGGGCAAATGCTGCATCCTGGTGCTGGATCAGCAGAGCTCTGAGCTGGGCTGCCTGGGTGCTGTGCTCAGCCCCCATGGTCACATGGATAAGGGATTGAGAAGGAACAGCTCCAGGATGCACTAGCGAGGGTTGGAGGTTGCTGTTGCTTTCTGCACATCAGGGAGGCCCAGGGCATGTCTCGCCTGGTCAGCTCTCTGCAGACATGGTACCTGAGGCTCCCCAGGGAGGCTGCTGTGCACTGCAGGGTTCTGCTGTCCTCCAGCTCCTGATGTCAGGCTGGATGGTGTCACTCCTCTAGCCAAGACCATGTGGAGGTCTCACAGGTGGGAAAAGCCATTCTGAAGAGTTGATGCAGAAGTTCCTGGTCACCTCTCCGCTCAATATCCAATGTTAGTGCTGCTCTTGCACTACAAGCAATCCTGACTCTCCACTGAAACCATGGCTTGTTTGTTACTTGGCATTATCTAAATCAAGCCCACTCATACCAGCTGGTTTGGTTTTGACTCTTGTTCTGCTCTCTCAAGCAGTCCCAGCCAGACATTTCCAGGCAGAAGGAAATGGTGACGTTGGGTTTTAAGCACCAAGTACTGCGCAACTGGGGCTCAGCAGCAGCACCACTACAGAACAGCCTTCCCTGTGCTCTACCGCCTGAGTCCCAGGTTTCAGCCTGGCTCCCTGATGCCAAAAGCAGTCTGGAGAGCCTCAGCCCCCTCACTACTCACCTTGCGCCACAGATCAGAAGGGCAGAACAAGCAGCACATGGCTTTTGGGCTCTGACTCCCCCAGGGACGCCGCAGCCTCCCCCAGCCCCACTCCTCTGTCCCAAGGGCCACAGGATGCAGGCACTGTGCAGCCAGAGCTCTCTGACACACAGCAAGCCCTGACCACGTGTCCCAGACCACAACCCTCTAAGCTGATCCAGGGAGCCAGCACCCACTCTATGGTCACAGCATGAAAGATAAAGGCCCTGTTTGCAGGGGGGGCTCTAGGGGAGCCCACAAAGAGCAGCCACTGAGCTGCAGGCGGGGGGACCAATCTGCAGTGTCCACTAGGGAAGCAGAGCCAGAGCCAGCAGGAAGGCAGGGCTGGGAAGGCTCTGGGTGACCTGTCTGAAGCTGAGGATAACTGGGAACCTCCACCCTACAGAACACAGATGCAATAACAGATCTGACATCTGTAGTGTGACACATGGACCTCACACACACTGGAAAATAAGCAAGTGAGGTCTCTGAGCAGAGAGGGCACAGCCAGACCTGGGACAAGGGTCCTGCTAGACACAGTGAGAGAAGGCAGTATCACCTGGGGAAGACTCTGCAGGGGTCTCAGGACAAACCAACGTTGCACCTCCACCCATCGGGTCAGGCACTGAAGATCAGTATGTCTGGGACAAGCACCATGGCAAAGGGAAACATAAGCTGGAGATGGAGTGAGACGGATGCTCAGCTGCACACTCAGCTTTCCCCGGCACAGCTGCCAGTGTTGCCCAGAGGCACAAGCAGAGTCCCTGAACAACATCCATGCTGTGTCCTGTGTGGCTCCAAGGAACAGCCGGGCACGTCAGGGCTCCGAGTGGAACATGTACCCTCATACCTATCACAGCCAATGTGTTCATAGGGTCACCAGCACCCCATGAGCTCGCTGCCCAGTGTCTCACCAAACAGGGGAACCCCGACAGCACTCACAGGCCAGAGAAAACTTAGAAGCACCTCTGCTCCCACCACAAGGCTCTCTCTGCACCAGCCATGGCACTGAGAGACAGGAAACAGCCTCCCCCACTCAGCCAGCCCCTGCTGCTGGCTCTGAGGGTCAGTGTGGAAGTCAGGTCCATGGAAGTCTGCGAGAGAATCACAGTGCTCAAGCACAACCACTTGCAGACTGTTTCCATCAGCTTTGAATTTTGCAGCCTTGGTCCCACAGGCTAGCACAGGGTGACAAGTACAGATGCAATGGCAGAGAGAACACGCAATACCTGAGTGATTCTGCAGAGCCTGGTTCTGGCCATCCTTCGTCGGCGTGATGAGATCCCAGATAAAACTCTTAATCTTCTCATCCCCCTTGTAGTGTTTGACGCAATACACCAGCAAGGCCCGACAAATCATCTCCATGTCCTTCTCATTCAGGTGCCACTTGAACCGCCCATGGGTTAGGATATCTTTCCAGCGTCCCCAGCTGAAACAGCAAGAACACAGAGTAAACACTCCAGTGCAAAGAGAGATCTTGCTGGCACCTCTCTCCAGGAGCTCTCCGAGGGGCATGGCCCTGCTAGCCTCTGGACAGGGGTGTTTTTCCCACACATAACAGGAGCAGAGAGGGAGAGAGGTCTGCCAGACAGAACAGGGCAGAGGCAGGAGCAGACTCTGGAAGTGCCAACTGTCAGCTCATGCTTTGTCCCTCTAACTCTCCTTCCATCCCAAACATTCGCTGATAGCCCAGGTCCCACCCGGGAGGTCACTGCTGGAAGGAGGGGACTCTGCAAGCAGGATGGACAAAAAGCGGCTGGGGTAGCCAATGGCCCACAGATACTGGGCCAGCTGGAGGCTGCGGCCATGGTCTCTGGGAGGGGTGAGACTCACCCAAATATGAGCAGGTTCTTCTCCACGCGGAAGCACTCAGCCCGCAGGTACCGCCGCGTCTTCTCGTTAAAGCGCCGCGAGCGCGTCGGTCGCTCGTCCGAGTCACTGTCCAGCTCAGAGAACTCCATCAGCTCGTCCTCTTCGAAGGAGTTGTAGTGTTTGGTTTGCTTCCGTACCCGGGGTCTGTCGATGACCAGGCTCTCCTGGGAGGGACAGAGCAGAGAACGTGCTCAGGTACAGGCAGAAAAACTTGTATACGTTCTTCTCCCCGCTGCCACTGGTTCTGCTCACACCTCTGGCTCCTGGCTTGCCAGTCCCATGGCTAACCATCCCACTGGGATACCTGCTCCAAATCACCTGCTTGCAGCTCTGCCTGCACACGAGACAACTCCTGGCCAGGACAAAATTCAGCCTGAATGATGACGGGCTGAAAATCAGCCCCTCTGGGTCCAAACTGCTGACAGCCAGCAGCTGACTCAGCTCTGAGTCACTCCTGGCCCTCCCAGCACCGCCTGTGCCAAGAGCTGTGCTGAAGGAGGTTGTAATCTTTGTGTCGGGGGACAGGTGGGCTGGAAGAGGAAAGGTAGATTGCAAGAAGGTACAGGAGGGAGCAATCTGAAATTAAATAGCATGTACCTGCCTCCTTACCCCCGCCCTGTCGAATGAATCCATGCCACCTAAGTCTGCCTGGATTTCAGGCACGTGAGACACACACACACACACAGAGTCGTCTCATTCCATTGCTTCTGCTTGAGCAGGGAGCTCTGCAGAGCTGCAGGGCCTCCTTCCTGCTGTGTAACACCACCTCTATGGCATTGCTGCCTTAGCTGGAATCATGGCAGGGCCCCAGGGCTGCACTGGAGCCAGCTGCAGAGGCCCGAGCTGCAGCTTAGCACACCAGCTCAGCAGGGTGGGACCCCCTCTGTCCCCTCCTGCCTCCCAACAGGCAGCAGCACCAGCCCACCCTCGCTTCCTCAAGAGGGGAGAAGAGGGGAAGGCACCAATCTCTGCTCTCTGGTGACACGATAGCAAATGGCATGGAGCTGTGTCAGGAGAGGTTTAGGCTGGATATTAGGAAAATTTTCTGCCCCCAGAGGGTGGTTGGGCACTAGAACAGGCTCCCCAGGGCAGTGGTCATGGCCCTAAGCTGTCCAGAGCTCAAGAAGTGTTTGGACAATGCTCTCAAGCCATCGAGATGTGGGTGGTGGGAGCCTGGGAGCTGCAGTGGAACAATGTGCTCAGCACTGTGAGCTCCAGGGCTGGAGCACATGAACTCAAGTCAGCTCTCCAGGCCTCCTCCAGAGCTGAGAGGCCAAATGCTATCCTCTGCCCAGGGTACAAGGGCTCACATGGACTTGGGCTGGTCTGGGGAACAGTTACACAGCATCCCCCAAAGTGGAAAGAGCCTCGCTCACCCCACCAATCCCCAGCCACAGCAAGAGCTGCCACTTGGAACCCCTTTGCACTAATGAAGGTCTCTGGCCTTGCAGAGACAGCCGGAGAACTGGGAGATCAGAGCTGGCACCTGGAGGGCAGCATGGGACTGTCCTGGTACTGCTCCATGCTGGAGCCCCACCCCAGCTGCCTGGGCTGCCTGCACCCATGTGGCTGGCAGCAGGCAGCACTCATGCCTGTCTGTGCTGTGGGGAACTCTGCACAGCCCCATGACAGGCAGTCACACCAGCCTGCTGGGCTCACAGGTGGGCACTGGTTCCTTCATCCTCTCCTCCTCTCTCATGCTGCCCCAGCTGCTGCCTCTTAGCCAGGCTTGGGAGTAGCTGGGAGCACAGATTGAGCAGCCTGAGTATCAGGGAGACACAGACCAACATGTGGCTACATAAATTGGGTCTTTAACTTGTGAGTCAGTCTTCCCTTGCAGTAATTCTTGATGCCCAACACCAATCCCTTCAGGAGCCCAGCAGAAACACACAGCTCCTGCCTGGAGACCACACCATGTGGTGTCAGATCAGTTGTAGGGCACACAGACTGCAAACTGGATCCTACCTTTTCGTTCTTGGCGTCTGTATCGAGCTCTGCTATCTTGGCCCACTTCTGCCAGAAGTTGGGGTCGTCTAAGGAAATGTCAGTTCTGTTTCCTGATGCTACAAAGCTGGCCTGGGAGAGAAAGAAGAGTGAACGGAGTGCAACCCACCATCGAGATGTGCCTTCTCTCACGCAGAGATCTCCCCCCACGCCTGTCTGAGCACACGGTCTCACTGCCGTGGGGTGTTGCACTCCAAGCTGATATGTGCTAGAGGGTTCTTTGTTCGCCTAAGGGAGCTGAACCGCTCTGATCTACAGTCCTGCCTGACCCATTGTAAACAGAGTCTGAGCTATGCAAAATGAGGAAGGATAGATGGCCCTTAGAGCCCCCAGCAGACACTAGCCACGAGCACAGCACAGAGCTGGCTCCTTGGGCTCTCTCAGGGGGGGACATCAGACCCCGCACACAGCTTCCCATGGCACAGCAGCACCTGGCTTTGGGCATCGTGCAGCCCAGGAGCTGGACCCTGCCACCATTCTGGGGGTCTTCCTGCAGAGCCAGGCCTCATGGTAGCAGAAGAGAGAGGCTGGAGACAGAGATTGGCTGTGCTGAAGGTACCATAGCTCCTTTCCGCACCACTGGCGGCTCAGGTTTCCACTCACATTTCTGCTTGTCAAAGCACCACACTGAGGCTGCACCGGTCTGGCCGGGTGACAGACTCGGATCAAATAAGCTCAGTTCATGAGTAAGATCAGCCCAGCTCAGGTCTGGATCTCATCTAGGCTTTGAACTCATCCATCCTCCCTGACGAGAGGCCTGACCCTGCCCACACAGCCCTGGGCAGAGTCTAGCTCTGGGCATGGTCTGCTGCCACGGCAAGGAGCCCTCACAGCCCATGAGAGGAGCAAGACCTCCACCTTGCTGGGACATGACAGCAGCTCTGCATCCATCCACACCTCCAGCCTGGGGACAGAGCACACCTGGATGCTGCCTGGCACCTGGAGCACAGGCCCTGCTCTGCCTCTCACTAGCCTGAGCCAGCTTCAAAGGGAGTGCTGAACCCTCCTAGGCAGCCTCCCATCATCCACCCAGGCTGGTGGCCCCCTCCTCAACACTGTGCTGACCACCAGAGAGACAGGAGACCACACCTGCTGTGGAGTCCCAGCAAGGTCTCACTCCTGGGCACAGCGGGACAGGAGAGCTTGGCCTCCATGCAGACATGTCTCTGCACACAGGCAGAAGATCAGCCCACTGCTACTGCCCTGCATGCTCCCAGTGTGTCCTCCTCCCCCACCCCTCGAGGGGAATCCCCCTTCCCTCCTGATGGAGCACAGCATACCTTGGCAAAGGTGGAGCCCTTGCCCTCAGACTGGATTGTGATGGTCTGTGTCCTGCGCTGGAGGATCTGATCAATGTCTTCCTCACAGAACTTCGACCCTTCGTCCTCCTCATCCATGAGTGCGCCATAGGCACCCTTCCGCAGCAGGTCCTCCACCTCCATCTTGGAGAGCTGCTGAACCTGCCAAAAACACGGGGGCATCACCAACCTGGCCAGCAACCCTGACACTGCACAGCAGGAGAAGGCTCTTCCCTCTGCTCCAGGAGGAGGACGGAGACGCCTCAAGCAAACCCAGACCTGCTGCTGCTACAGCAAAGAGGTCACTTCAAAATGCTGCCTGAGGGACTGTCAGGAATTTCAGTCCATGCCACCCCAGACACAGCATCACGTGTCCCCCAACCCTGTGGCAGTGCAGGGATAGCCTGTCAGGCTATCAGCAGCAGTGTGAGTGTGTGGGACTGGGTTCTCCCTCCCCAAAGCCTGCCCAGTCTCTGCTCCAACCTGGCAGTGACTTGCACTTGGAGGAGGAGAGCTCTCCTGCAGCAGCTCTCGCTTGACCCCACTCAGGCAGCCAACCTACCCCGTTGGTGCTGCCCTTGCGGTTGATGTCCTGCAGCACAGCCTTATCCAGGCCCAGCTTCAGGCTGGCCTTGTCAAACATCTCCCGCTCGTAGGAGTTCCTGGTGATGAGGCGATAGACCTTCACCGCCTTGCTCTGCCCGATCCGGTGGCAGCGAGCTTGAGCCTGGGAGAGCAGAGGGCACAGTGTCAGCACAGGGAGCCCAGCAGGATGGGGACCATGTGGCTTGTGGCACCCGCACCAGCACCTACAGTCACCCATCCAAGCCACAGCCAGCTCCTACCCACCACAGCATCTTCGTTCCATGCCTGTGGCTGACCTGGCAGGGCTCTGGCTCTGGCACAGCCTGCGTGGCTGTGGAGCAGAAATGGGTGATCCCAGCACCCTCAGGGCAAGGACACAGGCCTCAGGCTGGAGCCGTGGCTCTCTGCAGACGCAGGCACACAACACTGCACCCACTCCAACACCAGCTATGGACACAGTGTTGCCTGCTCTGTGGCTCATCTGTACTTTCAGAGCCACACCGTGACCTCCCTCGCATCCTGTCCCCTCTGCCTGCAGTCCTGCCGGCTCTCCCAGCATGGTACCCTGTGCCCAGCACAGCCGCTGCCCCGCCCCGCCCTCCTGGCACCAGCGACAGGAGCTGTGCCACAGGACTGCCCAGCAGCCTGGCCCAGCCCGGCCTGTTACCTGCAGGTCGTTCTGTGGGTTCCAGTCTGAGTCGAAGATGATGCAGGTGTCAGCAGCCGTCAGGTTGATGCCCAGCCCCCCTGCCCGCGTGCACAGCAGAAACACGAAGCGATCCGAGTCGGGCTTGCAGAAGCGGTCAATGGCAGCCTGGCGCAGGTTCCCGCGCACCCGCCCGTCGATGCGCTCGTAGGTGTATCTGCTCGAGAGGGGGACAGGGGAGAGCAGCGTCACAGCAGGGCCTGAACTGGCTGTGGCTTTTAAATTCCTTCCTGCTCCTTTCCCTGGGCTGAGTGTGGGCACACAGGCAGCTGAGACTAACTGGCAGAACCTGTGCCCAGGTGGAGGCTCAGGCCCCATCAGCCTGTGTGCACTCTGGCTGTTCCTGAAAGTTGTGCCTCTTATGATAGCAAAATCATCACAACTCCATGCATGGTGCATGGATATGGGGCTCATGGGAACCAGGACCGAGGGTCCTACCTACTTCCACCTGGTCTCTCCGAGGACTGGCCCTGGGCTACGCAGAATGGACAGGTCTGAGCTGCTCAGCTCTGGGGTCTCTGCACCCACCAGCAGTAGCCAGTAACTCCAATCCATTGGTACATGGGCATGGAATGGCCAAATCCCCACCCTGCATTGCTGCCACTCTATGTACAGTGCATGTAGGTGACGTGGAGGAGCTGGGGTGAATGCTGGAGCCTGTACTAACCGCCTCTGGATGAGATAGTCTTCCAGGATGTCGAGGCAGCGCACCATCTGTGAGAAGATGAGCACCTTGTGCCCACCAGCGATCAGCTTGGGAAGCAGCTTATCAATGAGCACCAGCTTCCCGGCTGCCTGGATCATTGCCTGCAGCTGGAAGTCTGGTGCCTCTGGGCTGTGTGTTTTACGGAAGTCTTCCAGGATCTTCTCCTCTGCCCCTGCCAGGTGAAAAGGGATGTGAGCTCCTGGTGAGGCTGGCAGTGCAGCTCCCCCAGCCTCCCACCCAGGGCAGCAGCAAAGGAGCACCCAAGGAACAGAACCCATGCAGTGAGAGCTAGGGAGGTTGCCCAGAGACCTTCAGCAGACCCTCCATTCCTGTGACTAAACTTCAGGGCTTGCATCAGCTCTTGGCAGAACAAGTCAGGCTGGGATGCTGAAGAGGGTCCTGTGTCAGAACCCCCCCAAACACAGTGAGCCTCACAAGACCCTGAGATGCCCATCAGCAAGCAGCTCTTGCAGGGAGCTGGGCTGCTTGGGAGGGCAACAGGGCAGATCACTGTACCCTGTGCTGGGCTCACAGCCACACCATCAGCAGATGGCACAAAGGCCTGAGCTGGCCCCCAAGATGGGCAAGTTCTGCAGGTAGTGAGCAGTAAACGTTGCAGTGATACCAGTGTGTCCCCTCACACCTCCTGTGCACAGCCCTCACCATTGATGAGGTAGGGGTGATTGCAGCACTTGCGCAGCTCCATCATGGTGTTGATGAGGTTGGGCATATTGTGCTGGTTGGCACCCTTGGAGAGGAAGGAGAAGTTCTTCTCCAGGATGGCCCGGTAGTATTTCTTCTGGATATTGGTCAGCTCCACCTCAATGATGGTCTCCTGTTTGGGTGCCAGATTCTTCTCTACATCATCCTTCAGCCGTCGCAGCATCATGGGCTTCAGGATGGACTGCAGCTTCTTCACCTGCAGAGCAAGCAGAGAGACTCACTGCCCTCCCGACATGGCAAACACGTGGGGACAGTGGAGGCGACGTTGGAGCCCCTCCAGGCTGCGAACCCACTACAAGAGACCCTGGAGCAGCTGCTCAGCAGCCAGCCAGGAAGACTTCAAGGGCTGGCATCCTTGGGGCAGGCGTGTGAGTGACCAGTCCTGTACCATGAACTGCACATGCTTCTGCTGCTGGCAGCCTTGGGTGTCTGATGCAGGAGGAGAGCTGAGAGTTTGGACAGCAGGTGGTGGTTGCTTCATATGCCTGTGCCTGCTCTCCCAGAATGACAATCTTTGTGCAATTCCCACATTCAAATGGCAGCAGGGACAGTCCAAGGGACTTGGGCTTCCCATGACCCACACTCAAGAGGAACTCTGGAGGAAGGCTCTCCATGGGAACATGACAAGGACAACTGACTTACTAACCTCCTCATTCCCCCTGCACTCCTGCTGGTTTCAGGGACAGACCAGGTGGGAGAGGCAGGTGAGCTATGCTGCCCAAGGGTGCAAAGGCAGCAGGGAGAGAGGTGGGAACAGACTACTGCCTTGGCACAGGCTGGTCTCCTCTCTCCAAAGCAGCATTGGGAGCTCTGTCACAACTTTGCTTCTCCCACCATGAGGAGCCCTATCCGCTTCCATGAAGCACATGCCTCAGAGCATGCCTAGTTTGGTCATCAGGTGTCCCAGTGGCCTACGCCAACATTCACCAGCATGACTCTTCTAGGTACCTGCTCCTCTGTCTTCAGGTCTCCAAACTCCTCCAGGAAGGCTGTCTCTGAGGGAAACTGCTGTGGCTCCAGGAAATTTAGGAGGCTGAAGAGTTCCTCCACCGAGTTCTGCAGGGGAGTCCCTGTCAGCAGAACCTTGTGCTCCTGGGGACACACAGGAAAGAAGTTGAGGGCTCAGACCCATTGGCTGGGTCCAAGGTGTCCTAAGAGTGCAACGCTCTTTGTCTTCCAGCCTCAGAAGCACTCTGGGTCACCTGGGAGCACACACAGGCTGAAAGGCTCCCCTGGGCATGGTGACAGCCCTAATCAAGCCACAGCCACACCACACTGTCTTGTGGCTCCCAGGATGCTTCCCTGGACACGTCCCAGTCCAGCTCTGTGCAGCAACAACAGCCAAAACCTCGATCTCACACTGCCAACAGGCGTCAGTCCTGGCACAAGACCTTCAGGCGGGGCTGTGCTGGTGCCAGATGGGGACACTGACAGAGCCCAAGCCCCTGTGCAGCTGGGGGCAGAATGTCCCTCCTCAGGGCTCAGGAAGAACAAGAAGCAACATGGCCCAGAGCCATGCCATACCAAGGGGCAGGAGGGACCTGCTGCCAGGGCCAGCCTGAGCAGGGGCAGGTATGACTGTGCACTGGGAACGAGGGGGAGCTTTCATTAGAGGTTCATCATGTAGGTACATGTGCAACGAAAGGAGATGGGGTCAAGACAACCCCAAGACCTGGGGACGTGAGGACTGGGTGATCCCTCAAGGAGAACGCTCTCCCTCCCAGGTCTGCTGTGGGTTAATATTCCACTTCAGTAAGAAGGAGTTTGTGATAGCTGCAGGGCACCAGTGCCCTGTCCATCAAAGGGCCCCCCTTCACTGGCACTGCTTTAGCGACCTGGATGGTTTTCCCCCAGGCTGGCATGGGGCCTGAGCCAGTGACAGTGGCATCTGAATGCTCAGCACGGTCATCTCCAGCCCACCCTGTTCCCAGGTGAACCCCAGGCAGGACATGCTCACCAGGGCCATGAGCTTCAGCCCCTCCAGGAGTTTGCAGTTCCTGTTCTTCAGGCGATGTGCCTCGTCAATGACCACACAGCGCCACTGGATCTTCTTCAGCTCCGGGCAGTCAGCAAGGATCATCTCAAAGGTGGTGATAACCACCTGGAACTTGAAGATCCCAGGGAGAGGGTTACCCTAGAGAGACAGAAACCAGAGCTTGACTCCTGCAGGGCAGCAGGACACTGTCAGACCCTCTGTCTGACAGTATCAGTATCTGGCTCTGAGCTGGGATTTCCCCAGAATAATTTCTCTCAAGCACTGGGCAGGTTCCTGCAAGCCTCCTTGCTAGCCACAGGCTGTTTTGTCTCCAAACTAGACACTGCTCTAGAGCAGACACATAGGCCTGGACAAGAACTGTGGCTGGGGCTCTGCTGCACCTTCCCCCTTCTGCATGAGTTGGGGCTGTTCACTCACATACTGCATCCTGAGGCCACGCCAGCGAAGAGTTCTTAAAAGGTCACCTTTCCCTCTCCAGGGGACAACAAGTTTCTCAGGCAGCTCAATGCTTCCCAAGTAAAGGGAGCCAGGGCTGGGGATGCATCCTGGGAATGCTGTGTGTACCACTCACCTGTGTGTCCCTGTACACCATCTCGTACTGCTGGATCATCTGGCGGCTGATCTGGCTGCCGTGGTACACGATGGCGTTCATCTCCGTCCACGTGCGGAACTCCCGCTCCCAGTTCGTGATGGTGGAGAGAGGAGCGATGATGAGGAAGGGGCCATGAATGCCCATCAGGAATATCTCTGAGAGGAACGTGATTGACTGGATTGTCTTCCCCAGCCCCATCTCATCAGCCAGGATGCAGTTCTTCCTGCAGAGACGGACAGGGTCAGGTGAACGTGGCTCTGGAGAGCCACCCTGTCGCCAACTCCTCGATGGGATATCAGGCACATCCCTTCTACTCACACCTCTCTGACCCTGCAGCGTGGAGGGTGGGGTATATTGGCCACTATTGGTATAGTGGCCCAAACCTGTCTGGGTAAGCCTGATCATCCAACTTCTTGCAAGATCATGGATTCAAAGTCAGCATGAAAGATGCTGTTCTTCAGGTACGCAAGAGCCAGGGAAAGATGCATCTGATGGCCTGCTGCAGCTGAGAACATTCACATTCCTGCCCTCCTGCCACACAGTGGGTCACCAGTAGCCTGGCTAACACCAATCATCAGGTGTATCTTAGACCCATAGCTAAGCCCTACTACCTCCAAGACTCATCAGCATTTTCTAGGGAGAAACATTCTTAAAGACTCAGTTGCAAAGCTAAAGCAAACCCAATTTTTCTGGCAGCTGCCTGCCAGCTCCAGCACTTGAAGGACTCAGTAGCTGCTCTATCAGGCCCTCTGCTCCCCAGCTCTGCTGTTCCCATGACAGCACACACCAAGGCCTGCTGCTAGCAGGACTGCTCCTGGGAACACAGGCCTCCAGCCCCTCCTCACCTGTTATACCAGTTAAAGAGCAGCCAGTTCATTCCCTCCAGTTGATACTCCCGCAGCTGGTTGCTGTTCTTGTACTCTCGGGACTTCTCCAGTTTCTGCCAGGACTCAGATGCTGGGCGCTCCTGAGAGGGGAGAGCAGGAGCAAGATCCATGGGAGAGGCCAATGCCCAGCGAGGTCAGATCCTGCTGCTGGGGCTGTGCATCAGGACAACACTTCAGAGCAGTCCCTGACAGCTGAGTCACGGCAAGGTCCTGGCCTCCAGAGCCCACCCTCAGACCCTGACAACTAACCCACCCGGAGGGGAGAATACAGGGCTTGCACTGCAGCACCAGGGACAAGGTCAGCACTGCTGGACCATGGCACAACACAGCCAGTCCCCGTGCCCAGGGCAGAGAGCTGCCAACTGGGTACGTTACCTCTGGGTACGTTACCATGTGCTTGATTTCAGGAGGGATCTGGAGGGCTTCAAACTCTTTAATCTTCCCTGGGTCAACATCCTCCTCCAGCTCCCAGGTACTCTCCTCGTAGGGCAGCGAGCACCACTTCACCAGGTAGTGAGTCACCTCCTGCAGCACAGAGAGTCAGGCTCAGAGACAGGGAGGGTCAGAAGCCCTCCATCTACCCTGTGTCAAGGGTCCTCAGGAATTCAGGCTGCACAAGGAAAGGCTGGGAAGGCTCAGCATGCTCTGAGATGACCCACAATGCACACTGTGGGGCTGGGCCTCCTGCCAGGTCTCCCTCCCTCCCTCCGAGGGGCAAGAAAGTGATACAGCCACCCACCTCCCCAGTGTCTGGGTCCTTCGTGTGAGCCACCTCCAGAATTCGATCTACCTCCACGTAGTCCGGGTTGAACAAATCCTCATCAGGCTGTGACAGCAAACAGTAAAAAGGGAGAGTAAGTTCAAGGTGATTCCAGGGTGAACCAGATGGCGGGCAGGAGTAAACAGCTGCAGGGCATCTGTCCCCAGGATGCTGCTAGCTGTGTGCAGCACACCAAGTGCCCTGGATGCAGGTACAGACATCTGTCTCTGGACAGGGAGGACACAGGAAGGCAAAGCTCTTCCTTTAGAGCAGTCACAGGCTTTATGCTGCCCTTGCTGTTAGGCAGGAATGTCCTCTCCAGCCTATCTGGCCCCAAGGTACAAGCCCTGAGCTGCCTGTTCCAGCTGATGTGCAGCATCCAGAGCTGTGACTGCCGCAGCACAGAGCCATACACAGAACCCCACTCCTGCAAGGCTCTGATTGGCTTCTGACTCTGCCTCCCTCCTGCCCCACCTAGCAGTAGTCCTCAGAGAGACACATGGCCTAGCACTTGGGAAGGATAAAAAACAGGCTTCTATGCTCACAACTCCCCAAGCCCAGTTAGTCACAGGAAAAGAGCATGTGCTCCTTGATGAATTGTCAGTGGTACAGTGCATTCCAACACATGCTTTTTCTTTGCATCCTGAGAAAGACCACAAACAGACTTGAGAGTGAGAAATCTGACACACGCCCCCAGCTTTCCAGCTACAATGGAGAAATTTTCATAGCCTACTGGCCTGATTTACACTTGTAAGGGGCAGTTTGAGGAGATTCAACAACTATCTCTGGAGCACCAAGATAAATTATAGAACACCTTTCATACTAAGCAAGATTAATCTGCTTATAGAGCAGAGCAGGCAGGAGCTGCTCTAAGCTGAGATATTTATAGCTCCCTCTCTCCCACAGCATCTCTGTTCCACCACAGAAGCACCCCCAGACCCACATGGTGCCCTCCCTCCCATTGAGCAATGCTTCCGTAGTTGGCAATGCCTGGCAAGTGTCACTTGTCACCCCGCTCATAATTCCGGCAGTGACACCACATGTGTCCAGGCACTGTCACACACCCTCAGCCTTAGCCCTGGTGCCTTTGGCCCAGGAACTGGTCTGGCCTTGGCAGGGAGGAGACAGGGGCAGCACTCAGCTCCTGGCCTGCTCAGCCCCCGCCCTGGGCTCAGGGTCGTGCACTGCTGCTCCCCGTGCTCTGCTCTCACCTCTGTAAAAATATGTTTCATCTGAGCCTGCTTGTTCCGGAAGCGCTTTATCTTCTGGGAGATCCTGGGGTCCTTCTCCAGCTCCTCCAGAGTTGCCCACTTACAGTGGAGATAGGAGCTGTAGGGGAGGAAAAAAGTCACCAAATGTGACCAAAAGGCCTTTGGTCTCAATCCCATCCACCACACAGAGCAGCAGGGATCTGCTGGTGATCCAGAGAAGGCCCAACCCACACCTATGGCACCCTAAACTGGGGAAAGCTGTGGCACAGGATCAGGCCAAGACCAAGCACTGAAGATGCTGCAGCTTCCCTGTTTCCCACCGCTATGGCTGGCTCAGGAGGACAGAGTCTGGAAAACAGGGATGCTGGGCCTGCAGCTAGGGATGGGATGGAGGTGGGAGCGCACAGTCCTTGCTCCTGCATGCACAGGGCCCACGGCAAAAAGCATCACAATACCACACGTACAAGTTCCTGTACTTGACGTAGAACTCCTCCGTCTCAAATGCCAGGCCTCCAGGATGAGCCTGAAACCAAGGAGAGGCAGCAACAGTCAGACCCTGTGCAGAAACTGGGGAGCTGTGCTTTGCGACCTGGGTGCAGGCAGCCATCCCCTCCCTGGCCACAGGCCCCAGGGGCTGAGCCCCAGGGACGGTGAGGACAGCCAGGCACTTGTTGTGCTGCTGCCCCGGAGGCGTAATAGCCCTTGAGAACATGGTGTGAGACCATCCTTGACCATGGGGGACTCAAACACCTCCTGGGCATAAGCCCAGGCCTGACTCCTCTCCAGAGGCTTTCTGGTACTCAGGATAGGAGAGGCACCACATTGATCCATGGCCCAGAAAGGTGGGCACACCCCAGCACTCCACCGTGAGAGCAAGAGCAAGGAAGAGCACGGCAGCACCAACTGCTGCTACATCTCATGTCCCTGCTGCATAGGGCAGCCAGGTCCCGTCTCTCCTATGCCCACGGACCTCCAGCCCCACTGACATCTTTGCCACTCACCTCCTTCTGCACCATCCTGGAGGCAAGGATCTTCTCAATGATATTGGCATCATCCTCAGGAGGCTCCTGGGGACAGGAGAGAACTGTTTTCCCAGCTCATCACATGCCCTGGCACCTCCCATCACAGAGCAGCTACTTGCCCCTCTCCCAGTCCACCAGCCGGGCAGACAGAGCTGGCACTGGGAGCTGGGAGAGCTGTGCCTGGGGAGCCCTTGCTGGGTGTGAGGGTGTAAGTGCTGCCTGCCCAGCTACACTCACCCTCTGCCCATCCTCCCTGGATAAGTCAGGCCACAGCATTGTTGGGTTTGCTGTATGGGTCCTTCCAGCTACACCAGGGCAGCTGGAGAGGGTGGCAACTCTCCCAGAAAAGAGGAGGGAACTTGGGCACTTCTGCCCTGAGACCCAAGGAAGGAAAAACATGCGCGTTTCTGCTCCCAGGCACTCTCCATGCCAGATCTTGGACATGCCTTGGCCTTTATACAGCTCCATAGTGCTGTATGGCCCCAAGGACCCCAGGAAAGCAGGGCCCTTGAGCCCTGCCACATGCACCCTCTGTTGCTGCCACCTGCCTAAAGCCTCAGGACACAGGCAACAGCATCTCACCCTACCAGTGCCCATGCAGCTCTTCCTGGCAGGCTCAAAGTGCTGCCTCCTTCCCTCTGCAGGCTTCAACTCTCCCCTGAGGGAATCACCCCTTGAGGCTGCAGATCCCCTCTGCGGGCACCCCAGGCTCCCAGCACAGCCCCTCTCGCTGAGCACACGGGCTTCGCTGGAGGTGCCCTAACACTGCCCTGCTGCCAGCCCTGAGAGCAGGGAGGGGGAGGCTCTCCTGGCTGCATCTGTGCCAGGACCAGCCCCACCAAATGCCAAGGGACAAGAGAGCTGGGCTTGTGCCGTCTGTGCTGCAGAGGAGAGGCACGGGAAGACTCACAGGAGAGGACACACACCAAAAACATGGAGCTTGCTTGAGCATTAGAAATATCAGTTCTGCCCTGTCTGGGAGATGGTACAGCAGCAGGAGGAGCAAAGCACAGAGCAGAAAAGAGAAGGACTTTGTTCATCCCCTTCAGATGGAGGCAGAACCTGGTCCAAGGCAAAGCAGTCCTGAGGTGTAGCTTTGCAGACTAGAAAGATTCTCAAAGAATGGCTCAGGGCATGCTGGGGAGGGACAGACACATGGGGCATCCCACACCACTCACCTGAAAGTGCCTGGGAAAGCCAAGACCATGCCCGGGGCCACAGCAACCCTTCCATCCTCAGCCCTCGGCTGACTGCTGCCTTGGCACTACCCTTGTGTGCAGGGCAGGATGCTGGACCCAGCACCACAACACAGTAAGCAGGGGAACAGCAGGTCTGTCTGGGCCCTTAGCAGCCATCTGAGGCCCAGAGTGGGATTTCTGCCCTATTTGAGGAGCTCTGACCCAAGCCAGGGTAACATGGCTGAGGGGAGCGTGCAGAGGTGCTCCCACTGCAGACACTGTGCAGTGCCCCTTCCACCATGCCCAGGCATTCACCCTGGCACTGCTGGGCTCCGCTTGACCCTGGCCTGGCACAAAGGGTTTGTGTGAATATGGTCAGGGGCACACCACAGCCACTTTCAGTGTCTTGGAGCTTGGAGCTCCCACACTGCCCCACAGCCCTTACAATGGTCCATGGCTCATTGCTCGCTGTCTGAAGGCTGCTGGAGGAGCCCTGCACTGCCCCACAGAGATTCTGAGGACTGTGGCCAGGACCCAAGGGGAAAGGTGCAAGCCCAGGCCATGGAGAGAGCAGCATCACAGTCGCAGCACTCACATCCTGCCCTGCCAGGTCAGTTCTGACCCTGGGAGCTGGCCAGGCCCCACAGCAGCCACCCAGCCTGGCTGCTACTGGACAACAGCCTTAATAACTCACCTGGAGCAGGACAAACCGAGGTGGAAGTTCAGAACTGAGAGGAGAACAGAGTGGCAGCTCATACCTATCTGTTGCTTTGAAAATCTCACTTGGAAAGATGAGTGCCAGAAGCCCAGCTGGGACACAGCCCCAGGCAGAGCTGAAGCAGCACCCGCAGCACGTCCCGTGGGTCCAGGCCAGGCATGGACCATCAGGCCAGAGCTTATCTAATGGTTGAACAACAGAGCTGACTAATACCCACCAAAGCTTTGGGAAGAGGGGACTACAGAGCGTTACAAGAACACTGTGAAAACAACTAGTGACTGTTATTAATATCTGGCAGATTTGTTAATGATCAGAAATGGAATGAGCTGCAGTATCCAACACACAGTCACAGGCAGGCAGGAAAGGGCCGCCAGCACCCACCACGAGCCAGCACTGAACTAGTGGGCATAGGCAGCAGGACAGCAAGGCCCAAACTGCAAGTGGCACCCGCTGGTCCCCGCCACATTGCCCGGCAGATCAGCTCAGCTGGCAAGTGTCAGGCTGGCATTGCTTTGTTCCAAGGTACTGATGGAGAGCAGCCAGGGCTGAAAATGATGACCTGGCACCTACAAAGTCTCAGCTGGCAGAGACAAAATAATAGACTAATCATAGACAGGATCTACAGAGACCGGAGCCAAAGGTGTGCATGGGCAGTGGTTGGGTCACTTCTTCAGGGACGTGTCCAGTTATGTGACATGTTCCAGACGTCCTGTTCTCCCAGCAAGAGGGCAGCAGTCAGACCTGCACACCTCTCTTGCCCATCTCACAGTTCCTGCAAAGCCAGCCTGCACCCTTCCAGACAGACACACTCTCACCCCATCCTTGAGCTGGGAGCCCCTACTTTCCTGACCATCATCACTGACACCCCGGGACACGCTGCATGAGGCAGATCCCACACCCCCCATCCCACACCCAGCACTACCTCCGCCTGCCATGCCAGAGTAGAGGCAGAGAGCGCGGAGGTTCGCCCAGCTCCCAGCACAGCGATTGTCTCGCCGTCATCATCCACAACCTTGAAATCCAGGTCCTCATTGTACTTCCTCCTCTTCACCTGCCGTCCGGAGCGTCGTTTCTGTACACGGGATGAAAAAGGCAGTGCCAGGGGACACAGGCAGACCAAGTATCTCCTCCTTGCTTGAGAGGCAGAAAGAAAGCCCCAGGGCTGCTGGATGTCCAGGCTACCCCCTGCCCTAGCAGGACGGAGGTGGTGAGGAGAACTGGCTCTCCTTGTAGATAACCCCCCACCGTGGTGCCGAGGTCTCCATCCTGACCCACATAGCCCCATCAGTCCCCAGGGTGTGAGGCAGAGGAGCCCTGCAGAGACACAGAGCATACAGCTCCCCAGACTGCAGGGCCAACCTGCCTCCTTGTGCTGTGCCACGAAAGGGGAGCTGCCCAGAGTCATGATAGAGGACACTCAAGGCTGAGGGACGTGCACCTAACCCTGGGCCATCAGCTGACTTCAGGCTGACAGAAGCTGGCCTTGGAGCCACACTGCTGAACATGCTCTCTGACCACTGCACCCAGGGGCCCAATTCTTCTCCCACTCAAAGGCAGCTGGGATTTCCCCCACTGGCAGCAGAGGGCTTTGGACATACCTGGCTGTCAGCTGACTCCGCAGACTCCTCTGGGCTCTGTACGGATGGACTCAGCAGATCCTGATCCAAATCCAAACTGTTCGCTGGTACCTCATTTTTCCTCTTCCCTTTCTTCTTCTTCTCCACAGGGGTGTCCTTGCTGCCAAGGCAGACTGATAGTTAGATCCTGTCCTAGGAATCCAAGGGGAGAGCCAGCAGGCACAGGGCTCTGCTCCCAATGGATCACCTAGAGGCACCTCAAGGCTCCTGGGGCCTCCCCCAGCACTGGGGACCCCTAGTTTGTGATGCTCATTGATCACCACCAAGTGTTTCTCCATCCAGTTCCAGTACTGGGATGAAAGGGTCCACCTGCCCTGCCTGGGAGCTCCCACCAGCCAGGGGAACAGCCCTACAGGGGCTGTAGGAGTTGGGGTTCAGTGCAGGCACAAAAAGGATGTCCCCACCACAGACTCCAGCAGGCCAGGGCAGCAAGGTGCCTGCTCCGATCACAGCACTCCCAACACTGGCCACACTGCTGGCCAACTCCTGCGTGTGTCAGGGAGCCCTGCCAGCAAATCAGTTTACCCCAGTAAACCTTTACACCAGTGCCAAGGCACAAGCTGCCCCAGATCATGGTTTGTCTTCCTGAGCCATAGCACTGAGTCCCCTCCTGAGACAGCAGCTGACAGACACTGGACCGTGCCTCCAGCCAGGGGAAGTTGAGCCCTGTGATGGCCACGAAGGTCTCACTCCCAAAAGGTGCAGGTCTCACTCCCAAAGGTGCAATGGCCCATCACAGCAGATGGTTACGGCCCATCACAGCAGATGGTTACAGAGGGGATTTGGGCTCTGCTCCTGTGAATCCCACCACCTCCCTGAAAAACAAGCGAAGACAAGCCCAGCCCCACGGCACACTCTCAGGGTAAGGGCCACCTGCAGCCCCTGTCACCCAGCACAACCTTCCTGTGCGAGGGAATGGGACCAGAACACACCAGGGTAAGAAACAACAGCTCCCAACGTGCCTGTCCATCCTTATCCTCTGCAAGGAACACAGTTAAGGGAAAGACTCCAAAGTGCTGGTGCCTGTCCTGGGGCTGAGCAATACTCCCTTCCTCACTCCCAGCCCCGCCATCCATTCCCTCCACATCCCAGACCTGCACAGTGTCAGAGGAACAGTTAGTTTCAAAGCCATGTCAAGGTTTTAGGTCCATTTAACAGGAAAAATCATTGCTTGCCTGGGACTGTCAAAAAGTAAGGGTAAAAATCTGCTGTTCAGGCCAAAAATGCCCTGGCCATGCATCCACACTTGAATTAGAGGCCCTGAAAATGCTCTGTGAGCGCTGCTTCCACTGAGCAATAACTCCCAAGATATTGATTTGTAAGTCACAATTAACAACTGTTTCATTCATGAACCAGTCATTTACTATGATTAGAAATAATTTAGAAGAAATTATGCTACCATTATCTGCCACTTAGAGGACTCCCAGCAATCTGCACAGAGTACTGACCCTGCCTGCTGCTCTCCCCTCCCCTCTCTGCACTGCCAGGGGCCCCCAGACACCTCCCCAGCTCCGTCCTGGGCAGGAGGCACAGGGGGACACACAGCTCTGCTCCCTGCACAGCTTCCACCTGACACTCCCACAGGTGGGTTTGCTGGGGGCTGACCCAGAGGGTGAAGCAAGTCTGAGATGAGGCTCGAAGAGAGGCTGTGGAGGCAGAGAAGCTGCAAGAAGGACGCATGAGCTAGGCTTTCCAAGCAGCGGGATTGGTACTAGGTCTTCCGGGAAGGTGCAGGTGAGCAGGAGGAAGCACAACAGGCTCAGGCTCCACCGGGACAGAGCATTAGGAATGTGCAGAGCCCTGTGGAACTCCCAGACTCCCACACACGGTTTCTTCTGGCTGCATGATGTGTTACAGAGTTATATTAAATGGTCTGTTTTGCACGAAGTGGCCTCTTCACCAGGGCTCTGCTGGTGCCCAGCACAGCAAGTGGATCATCCTTCAGCCCCTCGTGGTACACGCAGCCCCTGCCGTGCCCGGGTAGGAGGGCCAGGGTTTCCAGCTCTGCAGCTGGGCTTACCCTGCCACGAGCCCCATCTCTAGCAAGGTGTCCTGTCCATGGCAAGTCACATGGTCATGGGCTGCCCTGTGACCCTTGATGCCCTGGGAAGGTACTGCTGGCAGCCACAGGACCTGCCAGGGTGGCAACAAGCTCCTACGAGAGCCATGAATACCTTAAACGAGCACAAGCCTCCATGGTCTCCTCTTTCCCAGGTCTCCCCGGCTTTGGTCGGGTCCCACAGTTCCCGCTGCACGGGCAGACCTCTGTGAACTGCCTGTATGGCAGGTTCTTACTGGTGGAGCAGAAGCGTTAGTAGGAAAAGCTGCTAGCTGCATCCCTGATCCCAGGACCCTCCTTGGGAACCAATGCTGCATTTACATGGGCTTCATCCTTCCCTTTCCTGCCCCTCTCCTTCCCTCTCCACCTCCATCTCCCTGCTGCAGCCCTCATTGGGGCCTGGAGGAGCCCTTTCCTCACCCTTCTGGCACTGTCCATTTGATCCATCCATCCCCTATCTTCTCTGGCTCACCAGCCCAGGACAACGAACATGTGCAGAGCCCCAGGCTCGAGGAAGACCAGAAGTGACAGCACTGCATGGCTCAGGGAGCCGCTGGGGACGTGGCACCTGACTCTCACCCTGGTGAGCTCCCCAGACCTCCTCCTGCCCACAACCAGCCCACACCAATGGCACTAAAGGCCCCCCTGGTGCTGGCTCTGCAGCCCTGGCCTCTCCAGGATCTGGCTGTCAGTGAGCTCTGAAGAAGCAGGGCTGTGGAAGACCCAGGGCTCAGTCCTCGCCCTGCACACATGCCCTGGGCAGCCATGGTGGTAGGAAGGTGGGCAGATCCCACAGACCGGGAAAGTCCATTCCGGAGACCATTTCCAGGGAAGTGTCCTCAAGAAGATCTACCAAATTGATGTTTTGTAACAAAGAAGGATTTTGCTGAAAAATTCCCAGCTGGCTCCTGTAGTAATTGCATTTACAGTGCAAATATATTCAGCTCATGGATTATTTACAGTACATGAGGAGGGCTCAGTTCCAGCTGATGGGCCTGCTTTGTACAGGACTCTCCAAAACCACTCATTCTCGCCAGTCCACAACAGTAAACCAAATGACAGCGGTGCTGTTGAGACCTGCTCTGCTATGTGCACACATCCCCAATTAAAAAGAGATCAGAGCTTCTGTCCAATCAGCCTGTTAATTAAAAGGATGAGGAATTAGCAGAGGCGGCAGCGCTGGGCTGTGCAGTACCAGGGAGTCCTCAGGCCTCCCCCCACCGCTGGCCTCGGCTGCCAGCACAGCTCCACAGCTGCAAGGAGGGACAGCTCCTGCCACCCGGGAGAGGGAGCCGGAATGGGATGTGCTCCACCATCCTCCCAAACCTGAGCTGAGGGAAGGCACACTGCCAGCCCCTGGGTGTGCGGGGAGCCTCACTCGCACAGAGTCCAGGGTCATGTTTTTCTCACTCACATACACTCTGCCCCAGCCCCAAAACAGGCATGACAGGCCCTCTGCCACACAGCACTTCGCTGTCCTGGTGGGACACCACCCTAAGGTCCCTTTTGCCCCAGGACACTTGGCATAAAGGCCACACCAAGGAGAGGCCAAGATTCTTTGGTCCTCTTACGGATCTGGGGTCTCACAGGGCCTCATCCCCAAAAGGGCACCTGTCTGTCCTGCCTGTGCGTGAGCAGAGCTCACCCTGGCCTCCCAACTGGCACGTCCAGCCTGCAGCACAAGCAGCCTGCACATCCAGTGCCACTCTCCGGGCTGCAGCTCCTGCAAGCCCACAGCCCTGTCCACACCAGGCACACAGACATGGCCACACCACCACCCACCTGCTCTTCTTGGGTCTTGCTCTGGGGGCAGGCTCAGCGCTGCTCTTCTTGTCTTTAGGCTCCTTTGGGGCTTTGGGTTCCCGAGGTTTGCGAGGCTTCTTGGCCACCTCCCTCTGTTTGGGCTCCTTCGGCTTCTTGGACTCCTTCGCCTTTTTAGGCTCTTTTGGTTCTTTAGGTTCTCTCCTCCTCTTTGGTTTCACCTCCACAGCTGCTTTATCTCCCCCTTCCTGCTCTCCCAGATCCTTTTTCTTCCGTTTCTTCTTCACCCCTGTGCCCCCGCCCCCACTGTCCTGCATCCCATTCTGGGTGCTCGTCCGCTTCTGGGGAGCCCCACCGGGCTCCTCCTTTGGGCACTGGCACTGGCTGCCCGTGTTCGTGCCCGTCACTGTCACCTGGTGGGGCACCTCGTCCTGCTCCTCGCTGCTGGCAAAGGTGTCCTGTGTCTTGCACTCCCAGGCAGACGACATTGGGGAGAGGCTCAGCGTTTTTAAGGTCAGCGGCTGCAGAGAGAACAGAAAGGCAGTGAGTGAAGCAAATGGCACAGTTGGAAACAGCAGGTGCTGCGGGTGGAACCGCAGCCCCACGAGGCTCCAATCCCCCAGTGCAGCACAGCAGTGTCCCTCAGCACATGGGGACTACGGCTCATGGCCACCACGGGCAGACACAGCTCAACAGGGAGGACGTCCCTTCCCTGCCCAATGGAAGTGACAGGTAGAGGCCTTTTGGCCTCCCCACCAGCCCACGCAGGTCCCAAGCTGGCCCCAGTGTGTGCCTCAAACACAGTCCTGCCTTTGATCGGACACTCCAGACCTCGCTCTGCTGAGGCCAGAGAGACCCTTGTGCCCAGGCCACCTCCTGCCTGTTGCCCAGAGACAAGGATTGTCCCGACAGGGCAAGGAGAGGAAATTAAGGATGCCTTGCAGCCTGCAACAAGTGGGCACCAGCTCCATATGGGGCAGACCTTGGGGCAAAAGAGGGTTAGACTGGCACCTCTCCCGGGAGCTGCTGAGTGCTGGGGCTCCCTCCAGCCCAGGAGAGCAGAGCTGCCCTTCCTGCTACAGCTTCACTTCCGGAGAACTTTCCAGCACTGAACATTGAAAGGAATTCAGCTGCCTCCCTGGCATGCTTGGCTGCGGCAGGCACGACCAGACAGCAGCATTCAGGGGCCCAGCTCTGCTCGAGTAGCCTGGTAAAGGCCCAGGCTCATGAGCAGCAACCTTGGCTCCTTGAGAGCAGCCCAGGCCAGGGGGCTGGCAGGAGACAGCCCAAGGAAGGGAGCTGTGGGTGACAATTCAGTCAGAACAAGAAACAACTCTTACAGCAGCTGCCAAAGCAGGAGAGAGCAAGGGTTGCACAAAGGACTGGGCAGAAGCGCAGTTGTGTGCAGTAAGGACGGGGAGAGGAAAAGGTCGTGCTCAGCTTCAGCTGCTCAACCGGTCAGTCCCCATCCCCAGTGCCCTGGCACAGGCAGCACCTCGGTCAGCCCACTGCACACTCTCCTCCCTGCCTGTGACCAGAGGCCACTGGAGAGCAGCTAAGGCCACGTCCAGCACCGATCCCGTGTGGCACTGCTGGGACACCTCCAGGTGCCCAGGCAGGTCTCTGCCCGCTGCCCTGGCAGCAAGAGCAGTCTGAGCTGCTCCTCTGACCACACAGTGGCAGAGCAAACCCCACAGCTCTCACAGGAGATGGCAAACTTCTCACCCACAACCACCTGATTAGCTCCTCCTTTTAATGCACGGCTCAGCCACGAGCAGAGGGAAGCAGCAGCCACTGCTGGGCTGGCTCATTGTGGGGCTGGCAAAGCAGCACCAGACCAAGCCCAGCAGCGTGACCAGTGCTGGAAAGCTGGTCCTGTGGTGGCTGGTGGCTGTGTCATGAGATGAGACATGGGCCCATCCTGCCAGCCTGGAGGTGGTACCTCCTCATAGGGAGGCTGTGGGACAGCAGGTGAGTGGCCCAGGAGGCGCCGGGCAGCACTGTGCCTGTGGGGACAGGGGCAGTGCTCGCCCTGGTACCCCACACCCACGGCTGCCCCAGGCCAGGGGTGCTGGTTCCTTCACAAGCCACTTCCCTGGTGCTAAGGTGCCAGTGCCTCTGGCAGCAATGCCTGGCCCTGCAGAACCCCAGCACCATCCAGCTCCTCAGGTACTTCAGAGCTGTCGGAGAGAATGTAAACCTTTACATCTTACAGGCTGAGGGCTGGAACCCATCCAGGGTGGTCTAGACACAGGGTGCTTTGTACACTTGGATTTCTGATTTGGATTAGATAAAAGCAGTAAATGAAACAGACTGCAAGGGGGCAACGCCCCTGCAGCCACCCATGAGTGGGGCTGCAGGCTTGGCTGGCATTGGTCAGCACCCCTGCCTTGCCTGCAGCCCCCTGCAGTGCTCTGCCCTGGCCCTTGCTGCTGTCTTGGGATGGGGGAGAGCAAACATACCACCACATGGACCAGCCATCAAAGGGCACCCAAGCAATTGACGGGAATATATTCTGGGCCAGGAGAAAATCAGCACTATAGATGCTGCCTCCGAGCCCACTGGCTGTGCAACAAGATCAGTCTCAGCCTTGCATTCCTCAGATCTCACAAGCTGAGGGTCAGCTGGAACAATTTAGAATCATAGAATCACAGAATGGCCTGGGTTGGAAAGGACCTTACAGATCATCTAGTTCCACCCCCTGCCATGTTGCTCAGAGCCCAATCCAACCTGGACTTGAACACTCCCAGGAGTGGGGCAGCCACAGCTTCTCTGGGCAACCTGTTCCAGTGTCTCACCACTCTCACAGCAAAGAATGTCCTCCTAATATCTAATCTAAACCTACTCTCTTAGTTTGAATCCATTTCTCCTTGTCCTGTCACTACATGCTCTTGTAAAAAGCCCCTCTCCATCTTTCTTGTAAGCCCTGTTTAGGTACTGGAAGGCTGCAATTATGTCAACCTGAAGCCTCCTCTTTTCCGGGCTGAACAAACTGAATTCTCTCAGCCTTTCCTCATAAGAGAGGTGCTCCATCCCTTTAATCAACCTGGTGGTCTCCTGTGAACTTGCTCCAACAGGTTCATGTCTTTCCTGTGCTGAGGATCCCAGACCTGGAGGCAGCACTGCAGGTGGGGTCTCACCGGAGCACAACAGAAGGGCAGAATCACCTCCCTCATGCTGCTTTTGATGGAGCCCAGGACATGGCTGGTTTCTGGGCTGCTAGTGCACACAGACGGGGAATGTCCAGCCTCTCATGCACCAGCCCTCCCAAATCCTCCTCAGCAGGGCTGCTTTTGATCTGTTCATCTCCCAGCCTGGATTGATACTGCGGGTTGCCCCGACCCAGGCTTCCTTAAAGATCCAGCTCTGTTCCACTCCGTTGTCCCAGAGGGCAGTCTCCCAGGGGATCCCACTGACAATCTCCCTGAAGAGCGTGCAGTCTGCTTTCCTAATGTTCAGCGTCAGTGCCTTGCCCTGGGATCCCTGTGGGCATCAGGCCTGCTGTGTCCCAGGAGCAGTGCTGGTCCCAGTCAGCAGCACTTGCCTCCAGCTGGAGCAGCCAGAAGCCTCTGGCACAGGCTCTGCCATGAACAGGCCATCAAATGCCAGCCTGTGGGACCAGGCTCACGGCCCGGGCTCGCACGGGCAGCAGACACACAGAGGGCAGGGAGACCAGGCTGCTTCCCACCAAGCGCAGGCAAGCTGCTGCCAGCCCAGAAATCCTACTGCTCCCAAGGCTTCCTGGTTTGTCTTGAGAGGAAAATGCTCCATGTCATGCTTCTAAAGTCCACAGCAAGCTCTGGCCATCCACACAGGACTGTGCTGCCAAGTACAGTTTGCCATGAGAGCCTGGCTCACTGCCACGAGCCAGGGAATGGGCTTTTTCTACTTCCCCTTGATGAGGTGCAGTTTATCCTGGCTTCTTGTCAACAGGAAAAGACTAAGAAAGCAGTGCCAGCCTTATCTGTGCTCCTGCATGGCTCCAGAGCACCCTTACCACTTGCCTGCAGCAGCCTGGCTGGTTCTTTGTGCCAGGCAGGAGCTTACTGTGCCCGTGCTGCTGCCCCAGGGAACATCATCCCTACTTCCAAAGGATGAGAGGCTGAAGGGCTGGTGTCACGCTGATGGGGACACAGCACTGCAGGGAGGCTCTGCTGCAGCAGCAACCTCGGCCTGAGTGGCCTGAGACACGTCTCCATGAGCCACCAGGCTCATGGTGGGAATGGGCTACAGGGCATCTTGTTTGCAGCAGTGGCCAACAGCGACACGGGGGAGGAACACGCACAGCTGCAGGAGCCTAAACCTGGCAAACCGTACCCCTGGGACGCTCCTACAGTAGGTGGGCAAGACAGGCTGCTCTGTGCTGCTCTGCACCAGCTGGGGATGCTCTAGGCCTGTGCTCTGACCCTGAGGGGGCAGGAGTGGGGCAGGGCAGGCAGCACCTCTGTGCCCCGTCTGCCCAGGCTGGCCCAGCTCAGGATGTCCAGTGACAGGCTGCACCCAAACAATGACAAACCCACCTGTAACCCCGGGTGTCAAAGCACCCAGGGGCATTCAGTACTACAGACTCATAAGGGATGGGGAAAACCCAAGAATTTTGTTTAAATCCTGCTGCCCTCCTAAGTGGCTTCTACTTCTCAGGGTATGAGAGGGTCTCCATGTCACCCACTCCGTACAATTCAGTTTTGCCGTCCTCTCCCTGCCAGAGCTCTCCTGGCCCAGCTAAGGTACAGGTGACACGTCACCCTCTCCTTGCAGGCGGAGTGGCCAGCTCTCAGACCACCTGCCTTATCCTGTTCTGCACCTCTTCCAACCCCATGGGCTATGGGGTGGCAATAGGAAGCAGGTAGCATCAGAGGTACCACAGCACAGCAGGAGGGTTTCTGCTCTGCTCCTTCTCCCTTTACAAACCACTGAATACACCTCTGGAACAACCTGTAGGCAGACACCAAACTCTCTGCCAGCATTTTACAGTCTCCTCCATGAACAGGGACAGCCTCCAGTGATGACATGTGCATGGCTGGTTCCCCCGAGGCTTTACTGGGCACACTCTGAGACTTTTCTCAGCTTTTCAGTCTCCATTTCCATTTCAGCATCTCAGATGACTGCAGGAATCAGCCAGCACCTTTCTTCCCCAGTCCACACTGTGAAAGCTGCAACACCTTCCCTGTATTTTGCTTCCTTGCCTTTAACCAGTCACTAATTTACAGAAAGAGCTTTTGTCAGGACAACGCTTCTTTAAGAGCATTCAGTGAGAAACTTCCTCAACAGCTGGTTGGAAGCCCATGAGCCCTGCACCAGCCCAGCCCGACTTCAGTCCTGTGATCCAGTTATCTTTAAAACCCCTGGCAGATTGGAAGGACTAACTCTGCTTTGCAAAAGCCATGCTGACTATTTATCAGTGTAGTATTTTCAGAAATAAAGTGTTTACTATAATTCCTATTTACTCAATACCCAAGTGAACCTATTGGCCTCTAGTTTCACATTTACTCCCCCCTTCCCTTCCTGATGGGCAATGCCC